GGCTCTTCTCAGGAAGCAGAGCAACATCCTGGGTATTTCTCAGATACTCAGCCTGGCTGGGGTTTCTGCTACCTGATCGAGGAAGCCAGCTCCAAGCTCCTGGCTCCAAGACCAGTGACATCTCTCCTCCCCACACCTCCAGGTCATTTTCTCATTACTGCCCCACTCTCCCCAGACCCTTGGCCGTCACTCTTAGTGTGTCCCTTAAGTGTTAACTGGGAATTCAAAACCAGGAAAGTTCACATCTTCCTCAATGATTGTAATCACTTCAAGTGCTAGAGCAGCTCCCAGAAGGAGGCAGGGAAAGTAAACTATCAGGAGAAAACCAAAACACTGTTTAATATGTCAAAATATAATCCCAACCCAGAAGTTTACATCTTAATAATGCTTTTAACACTTCCTGGTACCTCTCCACTCTTTTTTTTTTTTTTTTTTTTTTAGCTTAGCCATCTTATGGAGTGAGAAGGACAGAGAGCTTTGTCCTTACTTTGCAGAAGTTGAAATCAAGGCACTAAGTGATTCTCCAATCTCAGCATATTCCACAACAGGCATATAAAGTGATGGGAGGGTCAGGAAGAAGATAGGCTGGAAGTATTTCCAGCTTTTCAGGAACTCCCACTGGACTACACTTAAGAATTCAAACTACTGTATGAATGAGCAAATCAAATATGACAGGAACTGAAAGTGCCAGAACATCCGCTTGTTTCAAGACAAGCCAAATATACTCAGGTAAGGAGTAAATGGTCACTGTCACAGCCAATTATAGAGACGGCAATGCAGTCAGCTACAATGTCTGCAGACACTAAGGGAATTCAAAAGTAAAATAAATTCAGGTTCTCAATTGCCTTTCTAAATATTTTAAACAGTGGAGCCTGGATAACAACCTTGGCTAACAGATCTGTACATTAAATATGCTGAGTGCAGTGTAATCAAATTCTCTCACTGAGCGTAAAGCTCAGGCCATTTTTTACACCACCCATCTCCAGAGTGTAACTGACCTATCTGTGGGGCCACTGCAGACCTCTGGCATTCCTTTGGATCGCAGAACTGTTTAGAATAAGGTCAAAAACAAATCAACAGTACAAAACAGGCAGGGTGCAGTGGCTCACACCTGTAACCCCAGCACTCTGGGAGGCCGAGGTGGGTGGATCACCTGAGGTCAGGAGTTTGAGACTAGCCTAATCAATATAGTGAAACCCCATCTCTACTAAAAATACAAAACATTAGCGAGCATGGTGGCAGGTGCCTGTAATCCCAGGTACTCAGGAGGCTGAGGCAGGAGAATCGCTTGAACCTGGGACACAGGGGTTGCAGTGAGCCGAGATGGTGCCATTGCACTCCAGCCTGGGCGTCAAGAGCAAGACTCTGTCTCTTAAAAAACAAAACAAACAAACAAAAAAAAACAGTACAAAACAAACCAAGTGAGTAGGGTAATAGGTTAGTTGAGATGTAGTCAGAATTCAGGTTTACTTAACAGATCATAAATCCTCTTTCAGGGGAGGAGAAACAATGGTAAGGGATTTGAAAACCTTCCATCACTTACTGGTGAAGTGATCTTGAGGAAGCTACACACCTTCTCTAAGCCTCGATTTCCTTATCTGTGAAATGGAAAGAAAAACAGAACTTGTCTCACAGAGCTGGTGAGATTAAATGAGGTAATGCACATTACAAGCCTTGCCAGAGCCCTTGGAAAACGCTAGCTGCCATTTTGATGAATCTGAAAGTGATATGCCACCGCAATAGGCCCTGCTTTGAAACATAGTGGATGTTAACCTGTATTTGTTTATCTTGTATCTTTCTGTAGTGGTCACTAGAAAGAACCTCACAGACCTCCAAGCTGCAGGAAGCATAACCCAGGGCTCCAGGGAGCCCTGCAGAGGCCATGCCTCTTCACTGTACTACATTCTTGTCAGAAACTCAGGGTAATGATGAACTAATGAACACACTATTTTCTTGATTCACTATCCAGTCAGTGAGCCTGCACCCCTGAGTTGAACATTTCTCTAAGCAGAAAAATTATGAATTATAGAATGTTCAAAATATAGACTATGGGGAGGAACCATCCATCTCCATGTTAAAAAGAACATGATGGAACCAGGTGACTTAGGGCGCTCCATAGACCCAGCCCTGCAGAGGCCATGCCTCCTGGGGGATGCTCCCACCAATGACTGGGAGAGTACCCAGACTCCTGACAGCGGATGGGCTCCAGAACTGCCCAGGCACTACTGGATCTTCCTGTGACTACAGGGCTATCTGGAGGCTTCTACCCTTCCCTCTCTCTCTTCTTCACTCTAGGTCACACTTGCATCATAGTCTGATGCTCCCTCTGGCTAGCACTCCCTATTTTTCTCTCCCACAAGCATTTACCCCAATAAAAACTCTTACATGTTTAATCCTGCCTTAGCCTCTGCTTCTCTTAAGACCCGAATTAACATACTTTCTCATGTTTTTTTTTTTTTTTTTTTTTTTTTCCCAACAGTGGGAAACTTACACTTGTCCTACAAGGTCTGGACAGTTTGTTCAGCTATCTACAAATGCCATTTCATTGCAGCAGCCATGGGGAGGCAGTGGATAAGAAACAGGAATAATATAGGCCATTGTGGGTAAGGCTGCTATAAACATGTAAGCCGCTGAAATCTGATACTTTTTCAGGGACCCATAGTTTCTGGTTCTTTCTGGTTGAGAGAGGCTAAAGGAAAGGTTTTTAAAAATATTAATTTTCTTAGTCAAGTAACTTGACCTCTCAAGGCCTCAGTGTCCCAGACTAGTACAGAACAAGCAGATGAAACAAAGTTTATATCAGAATGTCAACTGAAAAAGTATCATTTACTATAAATGGAAGATAATGGTATTCAATTCTAGAGAGATGCTAAAACTTCAAGAATGTTTAGAGTCTGGACCTACATTCTGTCAAAAATACAAATTAAAAAATGCTAAAAAGTAACACAAAAGACTTTCCAGAAAGACTTTTTAAAAAGTGAAAGGAGAATAATTGTCTGGCAATGTAATTTATTGCCATTTAAGAGTGGGTCTATGGGGCACCCTGAATCACCTAGTTCCATCATGTTCTTTTTAACATGGAGATGGATGGTTCTTCTTCATAGTCTATATTTTGAACATTCTATAATTCATGATTTTTCTGCTTAGAGAAATGTTCAACTCAGGGGTGAAAGCTCACTGACTGGATAGTGAATCAAGAAAATAGTGTGTTCATTACTTCATCATTACCCTGAGTTTCCGACAAGAATGTAGTACAGGGAAGTAGTCAGCCGAGCTGGGAGCCATCTATTTGAAACTGTCATAAGCAAAACTCAGAAACCAAGTGAGCTCGCTTTTGGTGTCTTTCATCTCTTCATGTGTGTCACCTAATTATTCACTCCCCACTCAAGTGCCCAGAAATTATTATGTCTTCTGTTGCTCAGAGAACTTTTTGGGAGGAAGATCTACTCAGACCTGGCATTCCCTCATCCCAGGCTCTACCCTGTTTTTCATCCAGCTGTTAAAGCTGAGTAATTTCACACCTATGTGTGAATTACTCATAACTGGCTTAATGCTGTGACCATCTTGGGGGCATTCAAAGCTGATAAACACTTTTTAAAATCATGTAATTATCAAAAATTATCAAAGGACCTTATCTTTCTGCTTTACTTCAAATTTTACCATACAGGCTTATTTATTTATTTAGAGACCGAGTTTCACTCTTGTCTAGGCTGGAGTGCAATGGTGTGATCTCAGCTCACTGCAACCTCCGGATTCAAGTGATTCTCCCGCCTCAGCCTCCTGAGTAGCTGTGATTGCAGGCGCCTGCCACCATGCCCGGCTAATTTTGTAACTTATTTTTAAGATCAATCATTTCAATGGACCCCACTTTCCACTCTTAATTCAGGGTATTTCAGGCCCCATCCAGATCCAATCCTCATGCTCATCTCTCCTATAAATACTTTCCTTTGCAGGTCATCGGTATTGCAGGGGTTGCATAAGGCCAAATGCAGTCTCTGCCCCAAAGGCTCATGTCCAAACTTCAGAATCTGGGAGGACAATGAGTAAGGAAATTTTGTCGGACCTATGAGATTTGAACTTTCACTTTTATGGTGAGGGTCACATTTGGTCCTAATCAATTAATCCATTACGTCTTCCACCGTGTATGAATTCAAAATAATCAACTTTGGTTTATTATAAAAAGCAAAATGTATTAATATCAGTATACTAAGATTTGTCTAGAAAACTTAATTCTGGCAATGGATTGTTTCTAAAATAATATATTAACACTACTTAAGAAGAAAAAACCTTTGACATCCTAAAATGCCAAGTGTTTGCCTTTGCCAAGGTTTAAACACACATACACACTCATATTCAAACAAATACCACCCAATCTGGAAGTGCAAAGATCAGCCTGTACCGCACAGTAACACAGACTGGGTTGTTTTTTGTAAACAAGGCAACTGGTGCAATGAGTAATCCCTTCATTTTCCACACACATACCCTTGTCTTTTCTCCCCGCTCCCCCCACGCCCTCCACTTCGGTTAAAAGAAGAAGCCTAGGGTAAAAGCCCCTGCCGTATAATCAGCCCAGAGCTTGACCTCACCTACTCTGATTCTTACTATCCTTCCTCTAAGGATGAGCGACAGGGTGTTATGGGCAGGGCGCATTTGGGTCCAGGAGTCAAGAAACCTGAACCCTGGAGTCCTAAAACATAATAATAATAATAATAATAATAATGAATGAAAACAACGGAGCCGCCCTGAGGATCCAAGCTGGGGCGGTGCCAAAGCAAGGGAGGTTGGGACAACCGAAGTCAAACGTGCTGTCCTTCCAAATCCCGGCGCTTACGGCGGAAGCCACTCCTGGTGAGAAATCCTAACAGTCATAATGGTATAATAAATACATCTGCAAAACCGCAGTCTGCCAACGACGTGCTTCCCTACACAGACGTCCTCCTGTGTCTCCAGACTCTAGAGGGGAGAGGCGGGACAAATGCTGCCTCCGCAGATTTTGGAGACCCGGAAGGGAGCTTCCGAGCCCGGATCCTGGGCTGGCAGGGGTCTCCCCGGCTCTCGGACCTCGGCTCCCACCCCCGACCCCACCGCGGCGGAGGAGCCCCAGGAGGGGCCGGGCACCTCCCCGGCCCTCGGGTCTGGGGCAGGAGCAGGGACGCGCGGGGAGCACGGAGGGGGCGGCACCGCGCCGAGGGGGCGGGCCCCAAACTTTCGTGCGCCTTGAAAGCGGCTGGCGCGGCTGAGCGGACTCCACCCCTGACCCGCAGCCCCTCGCCTCCGGCCGCACTTCCCGCTCTCTGCGCAGCCCGCCGCCCCCGCCATGGCGAAGCCCCTGACAGACCAGGAGAAGCGGCGGCAGATCAGCATCCGCGGCATCGTTGGCGTGGAGAACGTGGCCGAGCTGAAGAAGGGCTTCAACCGGCACCTGCACTTCACGCTGGTCAAGGACCGGAACGTGGCCACCCCCCGCGACTACTTCTTCGCGCTGGCACACACGGTGCGCGACCACCTGGTGGGGCGCTGGATCCGCACGCAGCAGCACTACTACGACAAGTGCCCCAAGGTACCCGGGGTCGGGCGGCCGGGCCGGGCGGGGGCGAGCTGGGGAACCCCTCAGAGTTGTGCCTTGCACCCAGTCCTTGCCCTGAAGTCCAGAGGACAAGTGTCTAGGCTGTGGGCGGGAGCCTGGGGACAGATTCGGCCCCACCGATGCCGCACTCCCGTCTGCGAGGTGCCACCCGCCAGCGCCCCACCCAAACCACGGTGCCGTCCGCCCCTGGAAACCACCAGGTGGGCAGAAGCCTGGGCCCCGCTTGCCTGTCCGCTTCACAAACTTTTGTGGAGCTTTGACCCTCAGCGTTTAATCAAGAGGTGACGGGCGCCTCATCCTGTGTGCCGGACACCGTTCTCTGCCCTGGACACTCAGCCCTAAGCAAAAGGGACAAAAATCCCGCCTTGTTGGAGCTTGGTGTTTAGGCAGGGGAGACAAATACAGAACTGGGAAAAGGTCGTAAGTCTCAGGCCTCTCTGAGTGGCCTCCTAAGTGCGGTGCAGAGGCGGGGCAGGGTCCTGCCCCCAGCTTGGAGCTCCGCCCGCCCGTTCTCCTGAGACGGGTGCGGAGGTCCTGGACTTCCGTGAGTCCTGCGCAATGAAGGCCGAGGGCCAGGCAACACCTTGCACTCCTGCTCCCCCGAAGACACACACTCCCACCACCCTTAGTCCCTCCACCCCCGAGGCCTGCCCCAGAGCTGCTGAGGAAGGCTGGTCCACGACCACCTCCATCCACGGCATAGGGGCGGGAGCAGACAGCTCCCACAGAGGGACAGTATCTCTGCCTGACAGTTTGCGAAGAGGGCGAGAGGAGGTTGGGAAGGACTGTGTACAGGCTGGAGGGAGGGTGGGTGTGAGTCTGTGTTGGGAGAGGAACTGGAGAAGCCAGGTGGAGACATAATAGGATAACAGATCGGGATACTTCCCGGGGGCGATGGGAAAGATGTATAAACATTTATTAGAACTTTTTAAATATGTAAAAGTGTGAAGAAAAAAAATGGCCTATAATCCCAGTGCCCAAGAAACCCTGAAGGAATTTTTAAGAAGGAAAATACATGTAAATTCTCATAGTAAGAAATTGCAGCTGTAACAGCTTTCCAATGAAAAGGAACTCTTCTTCACCCCAAAGACTTAGGCCTCTGCCAAGGTAGCATCTACTAAACGTATCCTAACAATTTAAATGTGCCCTTAGAAAACTCTGTGTATACGTGTATTTACTGTGCTTGTTGCTTTGCTCGTGATAGTCTCGCTCACTTGCCCAGGCTGGAGTGCAATGGCCTGATCTTGGCTCACTGCATCCTTTGCCTTCAGGGTTCAAGCAACTCTCCTGCTTCAGCCTCCTGAGTAGCTGGTATTACAGGCCCCCACCACTACACCTGGCTGATTTTGTAGTTTTAGTGGAGAGGAGGTTTCGCCATGTTGGCCAGGCTACTCTCAAACTCCAGGCCTCAAGTGATCCTCCCACCTTGGCCTCCCAAAGTGCTGGAATTACAGGTGTGAGCCACTACATCTGGCCAGTATCGTTTTAAAAATTTATTTACACAAAGGGAATGCTACTAAGTACACCATACTGCACATCTCATTAAAAATTATTGTTGACAACTTTAAGCGGAAGGGTGGCACACAGCATGTATTAGAAAGACACACTTTATAGCATTTAGTGTCATAGAGCACCAGAGTCTCATATGTTTTTCCTTCAGTGGCTTATCCTGTACTTTATGGTTTTCCTGGTTCTCTGGCTGGTTTCTTCACTGGGCTCTCCTTCTCTACATGAGTGCAAGTACAAGCCAGGAATTGTGACAGTGTATAAACCAGGTATTCTGATAGCAATACAAGGGAGATACAACAATGAGCATGCTTCATTCCACACGTGTTCATCAAACATCTCCTCCATCACAGTTGTCTGTCTAAACTGGATGGTTCCTGCCCTTGTAAAGTATAGCTGGCAGGTGTGTCCAAGCTCCTTGCCCACCTCCCTTCCTCTCTAATAACTGTGCAGGTGAATCCCAAATATGGATCCCTTGTCTGAATTCCTTTTCAAACTCCATGCCTACATTTCTAAGTGTTTAGTGAACATACCTAGATACCTTCGCATTTCCTCAAACTCAGCATGTTAAAAACTCAAACCATTATTTCTCCCAATCCTGCCCCATCTTCTGCATTTTTGGTGTGTGTGTGTGTGTGTGTGTGTGTGTGTGTATGTACATGTGTGTGTGTTTTCAGATAGACTCTTGCTCTATTGCCAGGCTGGAGTGCAGTGGCGTGATCTGGCTCACTATAACTTCCACCTCCCAGGTTCAAGCAATTCTCCTGCCTCAGACTCCTGGGTAGCTGGGATTACAGGCGCACACCACCATGCCCTCCTAATTTTTCTACTTTTAGTAGAGATGGGGTGTCATCATGTTGGCCAGGCTGGTCTCGAACTCCTGACTCATGATTCACCCGCCTTGGCCTCCCAAAATGCTGGAATTACAGGTGTGAGCCGCCGTGCCTGGCCTCTGTGTTTTTCATTTTAATGCAATTGCCATTTTGACAATTGAGACACAAACTTTAGTGTAACTTTTTGTCATTCAACTGGTTGCCAATTTCTGTTGATTTCTATAGGTTACCCTGAATGACATGCTCTCCTCTATTCTCACTTCCTGCCTTAGTAAGGCTCTAGCTACCCATTTGTTGCAGCAGACTCCTGGTGATTATTTTGCTATCCAGAAGTGCTAAAACTGGTGGCCTAAGGCTGAATAAGGATAGCAGACATATTTTGTTGGCCAAGATATTTTTCAGGAATTTAGGTTTTTAGCACCTGTGGGCAGGACTTGCACACTCCATTTCTCAGCCCAGTACTCTTCTTTGTGATCTCAATTACACATTTATTTTCTCTGCACAGCTCCTGGAGGCATTTGAGTATACAATCCCATCTTATTCTGTGCATTGCAGTCTGCTTACACTTCCTAAAACAACACATCTTGCCCCCTACTCAGTTATCATTGGCCCTCTTGCCTGCCATAGTCCTTAAGCAATCATGTAAAAGCCCTTCTCAGTCCAGGTGGGGCCTGTTCTTCCCTTGTTATTTTCTATTACCTTCTGTACCCACCTTGCTCTCTCAACAAACCAATCCCCACCTGGGCCCTTGCTTCCTTGCAGTGTCTGTCCTACCACATTTCTATGCTCAACTCTCCCCTGTCCTTCACGTCTCAGGTTGATTGACAGGTGTTCCAGAGAGGTCTTCCCAGAAGCACCCAGGCCCTCTGACTAATGCTGGGATAAAAATAAAACACACATTTAAAAAATATTTGTTATATCTTCTTTATTTTATTTTACAAGCCCTTTGAAAATATCCACTTTTTGCATAACACGCATAAAATACTAGTAATCATAATACATGCATGTAATTTATAAGGTATATTGGAGATGCTCATATATTTTACTATTAGGCACATGTAACAAATGTTTAGAGATCATTAAGAGGATGGCAAAGATCTATTTTTTGAGGTCTTATATATTCCCAAATATAAGGAGAGATTACCTCCAAAAAATTATTTATGAGAAAATAGGGAATCACCTTAAATTGCTGTCCTTATAAAGTCTGTCACGCCAGGAAATATTTTCTCGTTTACTTTATTTTGAGCAACCACATATTTCTTAAGAAAGATTTTGAAATGCTTTTAAGAAGACTTGAGTCTGTGCTAATGTGGAATCATTAAAAGGGAGGCAAATTTAATACAGATGTAGTCATTATTCCTGGGGGTATGCCCTCACAATTGCAAGTGTTGAATATATGCTATATAAACAAACTTCCTATAGATTACTTAAAAGAAAAAGGCAAAACATCATTGTTACAGAGATAATGAAAATGCACACAGGGAAGAATTTTTTGAACTGGCTAGTATTATGCAAATGGGTATTTGTGGCTTAAGATACTATTTCCTGTGACAGCAGTCATCATGCACTAGAGCACCAGCCATTGCCTGTGTCTGCCCCGGAAAAGGTACTTTTAATTAATTATATGAAGGCATCTAATAGCTGCTGAGCGTTCTAGTAACAGCATTATAGACATTCAAACAACTTGGATGAAAACAAAGATGACGTGTTCTGGAAAGCAGTATTAGGTAGCCCGTTAGGACATGGATGTTGACTATTTCTTATGAAATTTAGAATTCAATTGTTCATAAAAGGAGAATGGGAAAGAATGAAACTTCTAAGTTGACATTTTCAAATACTATTTTGTTTTAAATATTTATGTGTAACTAATATATTAAATAGGATAATAGGCCTTTATTGTACTGAATTCTACTCACTATTTTTTTTCTCATTGGCCAAATACTATTTGTTTTCTTTTTTAACTTCTTATCTTATGGAAATGGGCAATACCTAAAACTTGAGGTAACTATATTGGTGCATTTACAGATTTTTGCTGTTTTGTTTTGTGTCTATTAGAAAAGCAGAGGATAACTGATATGAAGAGCAAGATATTGTAATAGGGGATGATGAAGTTACTCGCTGGTTCTATTTTATTTTTTTAATTAGTAAACTGTGCTTGTATATAAAAAAGGTTTTTGGCAAGTCTGACCTTTGTACCTCTCACCTTCAACTGTGATGATATTTACCTGACTTTTACCATGTCAAAGGCAAATAATGTCTAAGTCAATAGAGAAATGTCCAATTTCAATAAGAACAAACACCGTTAAACCTTAGGTAGTTTTCTTGTTCAGAAGGAACTTTCCAGGAAATAGACATTATAGAAAAATTTTATTCCAAAATTTATTGTAAGCCAGGCACTTGGCTCACTCCTGTAATCCCAGCACTTTGGGAGGCTGAGGCGGGCAGATCACCTGAGGTCAGGAATTCAAGACCAGCCTGGTCAACATGGAGAAACCCCGTCTCTACTAAAAATACAAAAAATTAGCTGGGCATAGTGGTGAGCACCTATAGTCCCAGCTACTCAGGAGGCTGAGGCTGGGAGAATTGCTTGAGCCTGGGAGGCAGAGGTTGCAGTGAGCCAAGATCATGCCACTGCACTCCATGCTGGGCAACAGAGGGAGGCTCTGTCTCAAAAAATAAATAAATAATAAAATAAATTGCAAATTTTCTTACAGTAATCAGTCAAGCAGGAATATTTTCTAACCCCTGGGGTATGTGTGAGTTAATCTTTGTATTTCTTGAATGACTTGAGATAGTCCTAGCCAACCCACCTTACCAGCACCCACAGAGGTGCCCTATATAAATACTTTATTAATGAATGGTGAGCTATGGCAGTCTGACTTCTGTCTGTCCAAAACCTATGGTTTATTCATGAGGTTCATGAAAAGGAGGAAAAAAATACAAAACACTGAATCTAGTTAGTTAGATGAGTTCCTTTTTTTCTCCCTGGAGGTAAAACATACTGAACTACTTTGCCAAAAATAGTGCTTTCCCTAAGCCCGTTGTCAGTAACACTTGTATTTAGTCCTTCATACATCTCTATAGGAATATTATCGGAAAGGGGTCTCCATCCGAGACCCCAAGAGAGGGTTCTTGAATCTCACACAAGAATTGAGACAAATCCATAAAGTGAAAGCAAGTTGATGAAGAAAGTAAAGGAATCAAGAATGGCTATTCCATAGGTAGGATAACCCTGAGGGCTGCTGGATGGCTATTTTTATGATTATTTATTGATTATTTGCTAAACAAGGGGTGGATTATTCATGAGTTTTTTGGGAAAGGGGTGGGCAGTTCCTGGAACTAAGGGTTTCTCCCCCTTTTAGACCTGCATGGGATAACTTCTTGACATTGCCTTGGCATTTGTAAACTGTCATGGCGCTGTAGGAGTGTTTTCTAGCATGCTAATGCATTTTAATTAGTGTATAATGAGTAGTGAGGATAATCAGAGGTCACTTTCATTGCCATCTTGGTTTTAGTGGGTTTTGGCTGGCTTCTTTGCCAAGAGAGAAGTATTTAAGAAATATTTTGTAATATTTTAAAATATCTTACATCCGTACTAATTTGGCATTATTAAAAAGGAGGCAAGGAAAGCCTTTTATCAGCAAGCTTTTGTGCCTGTATCTTGTGCCAACCTCCTATTCCTTCCTGTGACTTAGAATACCAAACCTCCTAAGAATGCAGCCCAGTAGGTCTCAGCCTTTATTTTACCCAGCTCCTATTCAAGACGGAGTTGCTCTGGTTCAAACACCTCAGATGGGAGTCTCATTTGAAGCTGTGGTAACATAGTCCTGCTTATTTGTTTCCTAACACATGACTTTGTATTTTTATGTTAGGTAAGGTTGACCTCTTAGAGGAAACATTATCTCTCTCTTCTTTATTTCAGAGGGTTTATTACCTCTCTTTGGAATTTTACATGGGTCGAACATTACAGAACACCATGATCAACCTCGGTCTGCAAAATGCTTGTGATGAGGCCATTTACCAGGTACATTGTTCCTAGATTTCTCTCATCTTGTCTCTTTAAATTTCACATGCCCTTCAGGAAACTTGGGGACGTTGCACACACACAAAAAAGTAAAATGAGAGTGAAAAATCACCTCTATAGTTGTGGCTATTGCAAACTTTTAGAAATATACGTCACTGGTAATCTCTTGTTTAAGAGAAACAACCAGAAAAAGAAGTTAGTGAACTCGTTATGACTCATGAGAATTTTCTTTTGCAATCAAAGTCTTTGACAGCATTCCCCACAAATTACATTTCAGAAATTAATGTCTGAACAAGTCTTCTAAAAGTACTTGAGTCTTCTGCTGTCAGAATCACAAGCTTTTCTTTGGGCTTCTATCTCACTTTTAAGAAATGATCAAACTTTGACTGTTATTTATGTATCAAGGCAATTTGTGAAAACAATCAGCTTTAAATATTCTGTTGTCATACTTTCTCTGTTACTTAATGAGATGTAAGATACACTTCTTTAAAGGAGGAGCTTGAAGTCTTAACCCTAATCTACTAAGTTGTTTTCATGAATATATTTAGCTTTACTTTCCTGAGCTTCAAGCACCTTCATACCCAAAACAAGTAGTCCTTAACTTTTTTGATGTGGTTGAAAGAAGAAATGTGTATTTGCAGACAAATTTTAAATGAGAGACTGTTCAGACTGTCCCTTTTCTTTACCATGGGATTGTCCCCTCATGTGTCCTTCATGTAGGTTAGGGGAAGCATTTCCGGTGAAAGAACTCCTGCAGGTCCTCACCATGTCCCTTCCCTCTCCTTTCCCTAACAGCAGCTGAAAATAACATCTCTCCCTTGGAGTAGCCTATAGCCAGGCAGGATGGCATGATCCCACCTGGCTATAGGCTACTCCAAGGGAGGGATGTTATGTCTACTTGCTCAAAATTTATATCATACTTTAGGCTTACATTTTTAGAATTTAAAAATTCTGAGTGTAAGCACCAGCAGTTGGCTTACATAAGGACCCTAGTCTGCAGAGAGAAAATTTGAAAGCCCCTTTAACACTGAATAGAAGCATAACCATGGTTGAAGATATAGTTTTCAAGACGTGTGTGAGAAAGCAACTTTTGGTATAAAGGTAGGGATCCCGGTTCCACGGAAACTGGGGCACACCTTCAAGTATTAGTACATCTTCCACATATGTTTTCAAATGTGCAAATTATTTTTCCATTTAAAAAAATACCCAGTTTCATGGGTTGCCTAACTTTCAAATAAGAAGCCAGTTGTTTCACAACAGGCCACCTTTAGCCATGCCTTGGCTAGATTAGCATCTAGTCAACATGGAACAAGCCATTTGTCTGACCAATAATTCTCTCATGGTAAAATGAGCAATCCAGTGTGATCTCCAGGGCTGTAGAGCTCTGTCATGAGTGTACAGTGGTGCTGGTGGACTCTGCTGTGTGATCCCCAACATTCTGGGGCGGGGAGCTGGCTGTCAATCAGTCCCATTCATGCCCAAGTTCACAGATGCTGCTTGGTTTCTCACAGCCTCTTATCCACCCCACGGAAAAGCAAAGGATTTTACCCCATCCAGCTGGATTGCAGGACTGCAATTTCCCTGCCTGCTGTCAGCCCCCAGGTCTCTGGGACAGTGACTTACTAACTGGTTTTGGCTTAACAACTTTTGACCCTACTGAGTAAATATGCTGTGGTCATGAAAAGATGAACTTTAGTCCGTTCTAGAACATCTGACCTCAGACCTTTTGGTCATTTTCAAAATCCCTCAGTCCAATTAATATCAGCTTGATACTGGACTGTTTCTGAGATTTGAATCCTACAGTTACACACACATATAAAAAATTTTTAATGACAATAGCTAACGTTTATTGAGGGATATCTGCCCAAGAATAGCTCTAAATGCTTTGTTTATATAATCTCATTTAATTCATGGCAATCATCAATGAGGTAGGTACTGTTAGCCTCCACGTTTTTTAAATAGGAAAATTGTGGGATAGAGTTAGTAGCTTGCCCAGGGTCATATAGGAAGTAACAGAGTCAATAATGGACTTTTAGAGCCCACTCTCTTCTCCATGCTGCAGCTGTACCATCTCATACACTTTGCCTCTGCAGTCAGTATCTGTTGCTGGAACAAGCTGCAAGGGAGCTGATGCTAGATTAAGAGAAAAAGGTACAGCTCTGGGTAAAGGTACCTGGTAAATGAATTATCTTTACCCAGAGCTGTAGGGAATGGCTTCCACTCTGAATGGCCTCTATTTGTATCTGCTTCCAATATTGTTTTCCCTTCATTACCAGCTTGGATTGGACATAGAAGAGTTAGAAGAAATTGAAGAAGATGCTGGACTTGGCAATGGTGGTCTTGGGAGGCTTGCTGGTAAGTGACATTGTGAGTGTGTTATATTGCCTGGCCGATTGAAGACATCTCAGATGCCATGCATGACCATGCATGGAAGAACCAGGCAGTCTTCCTAGAAAAACTGCAAGATATGATCCGGTTGTAGATGTATTTGTTCTTGAGTTTGCACTTCAGTTTGGTCAATTCTAGACAAACAGTAGAGAAGAGAACTTGAACAAAAGAGACACTGCTTAAACCCCAGTTAACCAGATCCTTCCTATGTACTCAAGGGTTTCCAAAGTAGCCCCTTTTCCTCACTGTTAATTGTTCAATGCTTCTCAATTCACATCCTTGTGTGGCATGACCTAGTTAAGTTGCTGTTGTGTTGTGTTGTTTTATTTTATTTTTTCAGTGGTAGACTCCAGGTCAGAGGCATGACTGAAGTTGGTCAAACATTGTCTTGCCTTGTACACTTGACTGCTTGATTTTTGATTGACTAGTGAGCAATGATACACTAATATGATTGGTATGGTTTTGTTAATTAATATCCTTTTTGTGTGTGGATACAATTTGAGTTCTTTGCTTTTTTTCAGGGAATGATTTTTCAGCAAATATATAGGAAAGCACGAAAAATACAATACCAGCTCTATTAATGTGTGTGTATATATATGTGTGTATGTACATATGTATATAATGTGAATATGTAGAAAAAAGGGTCTGGAATTCTAAATACTAAACTGTTCCCTATGACCCCCTGTAGGGAGGAGTACAGAATTGGAGTTGTGATCAATGGGGATGCTAGCATAATAATTTTTTTTGTCTGTAACAGTTTAATTTTTTTATCTGTTAAATTTAAATTTAATAATAAAAGTGTACTGCCACACATGTATCAGATTATAAAACAATTATCTCCTCTCTTTTAGAAATTGTTCAAAAATCTTCTGGCTTTGCATACACTCGAGTTACTAGAAAGCCATTTGCATCTGTTTCATTTTTTTCATCCCTAGTACATTAATCACAGTGTGCTTTAACATTGCCATTAATGAACAAAACAAAATAAAACACTGCCTGTGGGATACTTGCCACCTTCCTGTGAAGTTAATTATCAAACAATTTAGTAGGCTTTCTGCTGGGCTGCAGGAAGGCCAGCAGCGCTGATGGAATGCACATCTAACAGTGGGAACCAGCCTGCCTGCCTTTTAGGTGAAGCCCCAGACCTCAATCCTTGTTGACGGGATTAACTCTGTGCCCAACATTCATGACTCCTTGATTTGACTAATGAAGTCAGAGTGAAGTGGCTGATGAAGCTGAGAATTCTCATTAGATGATCTCACCTAAGTTGGGACCCCCTCTAAGGATAATCTGATCAGGACTCAGGAAAAGCTGAAGAGCCACAGCTTAGAGAGAACAGGAATGGGAGTGAACCAGGCCCTGTGAGCACAGGGATTGGCGATGTTGGGAAAACTCAAAAGCCTAGGCCATTTGTGTTTGTGGATCTCTGTTTTAAAGGCTGTACTGCCAATCTAATTCAGCCCCTTTCTGTTTTGAGCTACAGCTTTCAATATTCTTGTCAGTTTTAATTCCTCCTGTGCACATTCTCTGCATTTCTCAGCTTAAATTCCCGGGAGGGACAATCTGATTAGTGTAACCCCTTAGTTTGCACCCAGCCACAAGGCGGATCCTTACCCAGCCTGTTGGTTTGCTATTCTGGATCAGAGGCCCTGCCCTCAAGTAACAGAAAAACCTAGCAAAAATGGTTCAGCCAGGGACATGTGTTACCACAGAACAAGAACTCTAGAGTTCTTTCTAAGACTGGTTTATTCAGCAGCAGGATTACAGCAGGACTCCAGGTCTCTGGTCCTTTTGTCTTTTCCCCTCATGGAAAAAAGATACTGGTAGCAAGGAAAATCTTTCCCAGAAGTCTGCTACATCCAACAGACTTTCTAGCACTTCTCATCTGATTGAATGTCATCGTATGTGCATGCCCAAACCAATCACTAGAGAAGGAAATACAATTGCTATGACTGGCTTAGCAGATCAGACCAATCAAGCAAAATTCACTTCCTGGTTCAGCCTCCCTGAATCATATGATCACCTAATATCTGAACAACTGTGGCATTCCATTAGCCCGGAAGAAACAGAGCTGGCCACAGAATATCTTGTCAGTCAGGTAGGTGCTGGAAGGAAACAAAACACATATAAGTATACTCTCCTGGGACTGTCTTTTCCAGTGGAGTGAGTCTGTGGGGAAGATGGAGACAGTTTCCCTTAGAAAAGATACTGTGGAGGTTGGGCACTGTAATTCCAGCACTTTTGGAGGGATTATGCCTGTAACCCAGCACTTTTCGAGGCTGAGGCCGGCGGATCATGAGATCCAGAGATTGAGACCATCCTGGCTAACACAGTGAAACCCCATCTCTCCTAAATATACAAAAATTAGCTGGGCATGGTGGCACACACCCAGCTACTTGGGAGGCTGAGGCAGGAGAATCGCTTGAACCTGGGAGGCGGAGGTTGCAGTGAGCCAAGATCATGCCACTGCACTTCAGCCTGGCGACAGAGCAAGACTCTGTATCAAAAAAAAGAAAAAAAGAAGAAGAAGAAGAAGAAGAGATAATGTGGGGATAATAATCGACATCTCTCGTGCAGATTGGCTTCCTTATCTGTTCTCAAAAAAATGTACACAGTGGTTATTTCTAGATGGTGAGGTGATAGATGACATTTTCTTCTGTACACATTTTTGTATTTTCTAACTTTTCTATAGTATTAATTTTATAATTAGAAATAAGTTATTTAAAAAATCAGTATCCATTGTGCAGTAGTATCTGTGCTTTAGAATACAAATTTGGTTCTTCGTATAGCAATGTTTTGTGGCTGCTGTGTGTTTTAGGGAACGATTGGAAATTTCGAGTTGGCTTAATGACTCTATCTTTTGCCTGTTTTGCCTGTCTTTTGCTCTGCTCAATGTAGCCTGCTTCTTGGATTCCATGGCAACCCTGGGACTAGCAGCCTATGGATATGGCATCCGGTATGAATATGGAATCTTCAATCAGAAAATCCGAGATGGATGGCAGGTGTGTGAGCCATCTTTTTAAATTTTGTCATTAAGGTACTTCTCTTTCATGGTGCTCTGGATGATTTATATACTATATGGACTTTTAACATAGAGCTATACTAATTTATATGGTATCTGGTTGGTATCAGTGAGTTATATCTATCCATCTTCCCCCTTCGGAATGTAAGCTCCCAAGAACAGAGAGCCTTCCAGTATCACTCATCACCAGATCCATTGCAGCAAGTACAGTGCCTGACTCACAGGGAGCTCTGAAAATATTCATTCCAGACTGCCTGAATGTGGACCACCTACAATGTGTGATGTTCCATTCTCTGCAGCAGTCATAATGGAGGAGTACATCTTTGACTCATGATCTATAAGAACCATTGATGCTAGAAGCACACTGTCATTTTGTAGGTGAAAACACCGAGTCTCTTAGGAAGGAAAGTTACCTCAGATCACACTGCTGGCAAATACATGTTTGTATCCCCAGATTTCCAGGACCACATTCAGTATTCTGTTTTATACTCACAAGTATTGCCCTCTTTAATATGCCAGCGTTACAAGATGCAAGCCAAGTGTCTTGATGTTTTTATAAGATGAAATCAGACAGTGTTGTTAACTGTTAGAGCAAATAAATCTGGCATGTATTTAATAAGTGCAATTACACTGCCCTACAAAAATTTATCTAAATCTATTCAAGTGACACTATTTTCACTTTATATAACCAAGCCAGATTGTTAGGTACTTATTTCTTTTCTCTCTGATAACTGTTTAAGTCTACAATCACCCTAGTGTGGACAGTTTTTGCTGGTACTAAGTGTGATTTAGGCTTTCTCTCTCCCTATTTTTGTCTCATACATACACAATTGACAGAAATATATATCCTCAGTTTCCAAAAACCGTGGGCTCTCTGATCCTTTCCCACACTTATGAGATGAATCCAACAGGAGAACACTCAGGGACTTGATGCAGAGACCTAAGCTGATGCCAGGAGAAAGGAAGATGACCCGACCAGGCACAGTGGCTAGTGCCTGTAATCCCAGCACTTTGGGAGGCTGAGGCAGGCAGATCACAAGGTCAGGAGTTTGAGACCAGCCTGACCAATATGGTGAAACCTTGTCTCTACTAAAAATACAAAAAAAAATTAGCCAGGCATGGTGGCAGGCGCCTGTAATCCCAGCTACTCAGGAAGCTGAGTGAGGAGAATCACTTGAACCTGGAAAGCTGTGGAGGTTGCAGTAAGCTGAGGTCGTGCCACTGCACTCCAGCCTGGGCAATAGAGCAAGACTCTGTCTCAAAAAAACAAAGGAGGAAAGGAAGGAAGGAAGATGACCTGATAAGAATGAGTTTAGTGTTACCACTGGCCTCTTTCCCCTCCCTCAGTATTTGGATTCTTTGTGAGCCAAGGAAGGGAGGAACTAAAAAATGTGGTTTGATGAGAGAATCTCACCAGGAAAACGGCTTAGGAGAATACTGGGTATAGTAAACGACAAACTTCCAGATTTTGCTAAGAACTAGTGCTGTTTATCCTTAGCTACCCCCAAATAAATAAAAGCTGAAAGGCAACATCTGGTAGAAGAGAAGCCTGGGTCCTAATTTCTAATTTAAGACCTAATGTCAACTTAGGAGACCTGATTACTTTTATGAGGTATGTTGCCTCAATTAGGTTACCAAACTTTCCTGAACCTCAGTTTTCTCAATGGCTAAATGGAGATACAAACTTCACAAAATTATTGTACAAACATGTAAAATATCTGGCATACAATAAAATGCTAGTATCAGTAAGCACACAATAAAATGCTAATTTTGCCTAAGGAAAGGAGGACACTTTAATAAATTGTGGTATTCTATAATAAAATATTAGTGAAACCATTAATATTATATTTTTGATTAATTTTAACAAAATAGGAAATCATTTATGTTAGCTATAAATAGAGGATATAGAGTTAAATGGGTGGTATAACCTCAGCTATCCAGAGGAGGCCAGAAAGAAAAAGAAAAAGTGCCAGAAAAAAATACGTCAAAGCTTCAACAGAAGTTGTCTCTGGAAGACGGGCAGCTTTTACTGCCTTCTGTGTACTTTTCTACGTATCTCATTTTCTGCAAGAAATATGTATACTGCATATTAATGTGCCAGTTAATCTCCGATCTCCTATTTACTCTTCTACATGTTTTATATTCCATAAGTAATATGTATTGTTTGATCATGAAAAGTTATAAAAATGAAATAATTGGTTCCTCTCCCCAATCAAGGAACCAACCTAGAGTTCCATGCGGAGAGCCTAGCTTAGCAGGCATTTCCAATGCCCCCAACACTTTGACACGACCTAACCAAACAACACATAATATCTAATTTTAGCCTTTGAAAAGGATACTGTGTGCTACTCACTATACTACAGAATCTCTAAGGAGTTCATTTCTTATCTCTTAACTACTGTCAGATGAAAGATTTAAAAGAAACTCAGGTGCAATTTTTTTTTGTCTCAGGTATATTTTCCCCTTAAATTTTATGAAGGCCCACTGTTATCACACCTACCTTTACTCTTTTTAAATGGTCTTTATTCCAGGAAACTTATCTCTTTCTCTCCTATCAGACCAAGAAAGTATGTATTTCTAGTGCTCCTTAAAAAGAAAAATAAGAAAGACCAAACAGATTTTCCTCATTCAAAATATTGCAGAGCTGGCCAGGTGCAGCGGCTTATGCCTGTAATCCCAGCACTTTGGGAGGCCAAGATAGGTGGATTATTTGAGGTCAGGAGTTCAAGACCAGCCTGGGCAATATGGTGAAACCCCTGTCTCTTCTAAAAATACAGAAATTAGCCAGTAGGTAGTGGCATGAGCCTGTAATCCCGGCTCCTGGGAGGTCTGAGACAGGAGAATCACTTGAGCCTGGGAGGCGGGAGGCGGAGGTTGCAGTGAGCTGAGATAGCGCCACTGCACTCTAGTCTGGGTGAGTGACTGAGACCTTGTCTCAAAAAAAGAAAAAAGAAAAAATTTCAAAGCTAACCTTATTAACCATCATCACTTTTTTCATTACGACTTGAAATTGAATCAAAAGGATATATAATTTTACTTATGACCTCCATTGTTTACTGGGATGGGATTTTAACTGTCAAACATAAAATATATCATACTGTAAACAATAAATTATTTCCATAAAAAGCAAAAAGCATCTGTCAAGAAAGCAGCAGTCCTCTTCATAGTATAGTGATGCCATACTCCCATATAACACTGTTCTTACAAAGGCAGATTTGGAGAAGGCGGATAAAAATTCCACATGCTGGGAAGATTTTTAAAGGTCAATGGGCTTTTAATTTTTGAGTCTCTTTAAGGAAGATTTGCTGTCCTGGAGCGTTCATTGTGAACCCCCTGAGAAAAATAATTGTGTTGCTGAAATTCTAGATTTACCATATACTCTAAAGGGGAGTATGGTAATAGTCCTCTGTGAAAATAGCTGGCCCCTAGGAGGAATAGGGGAGAAAGACAGTTGCAACAATCTCACAAAACATTTCACAATCACACCAAAGCCCTGGGGTAGAAAGGCTCTCACAGTATTTATTTCAGAGCTGGATCCAAGTGGCTTCTGCAACCCTCTGTCACTTCTTAGAACCCACACCAAGTTTGTGATAGCCGGTCATGCACAGATCACGTCACCCAGCAAGCTTCTAATTATCATCACAGAATTCTCAGTGTGCCACAGAAACATTTATCAGTTATTTATAATATCAGAAAGCAAAGTTCGTGGACTCTCCTATTGTTTGTTCACGGTTCTTTGTGGACTCTGTATTCCTTTAGTGAAGAGAAGAGCATTTCTTAGAATTCAATCGACAGAGCCCGCTGGGCTGACTGACTTCTCCATCCCTGCTGGCTGGGACAGATTCCACTGAGTCATTCCTCTAAAAAAATGCCTTGTCCAGCTGCCGCCTGTACCCAGGTTGGCTCTTTCACACCACAGATCTGCACTTGCTTCATTCAGCCCTGTGCAGCCTCTGGAATGAAACAGCTCTGACTGCTCACTGGATGTAGATGAAAGTTCTTCTCCCATCTTGACCCCCCCACCCCCACCTCTTCATATGATTCAGCATGTGCATTAAGGAATTGCTCTACGTGGAAACCCAAATTTACAGACCAATTTGTCAATTCATTGGAAGAAAGCAAGGTAGAGAGAAGATTAATCACCACCTTGTAGCTTCTGGGGATTTAGTGGAGGCAGGAACGGATAGTTCGCTCCTTCTCAGATCTACTCAGATCAACTCGTTGTTTTGAAACACTTGTTTCTCAATCTACCTTAAAAACAAGCCTTGTAAAATCTGTAGAATTATTCACTGGTTCTTTACTGAATCTGAGAGACTCACAATAAAGAATACCAAGCAAATAAAGTCTCCTACAAGTTGTTAGCCCCATGAAACTAAAACCAATCATTATTTGGCAGGAAAAAAAATTAAACAACATTTGATGGCATTAAAACTAGTCAGCTGACTAGTCTTGTTATATAAGTATGTTCCTTCAAAAGAGCAAATGTGGTCTAGTGTGGTGGCTCACACATGTAAGCCCAGCACTTTGGGGGGCCAAGGCAGGCTGATCACTTGAGGTCAGGAGTTCAAGATCAGCCTGGCCAATATGGTGAAACTCCATCTCTACTAAAAATACAAAAATTAGCTGTGTGTGATGATGACACCTGTAATCCCAGCTACTTGGGAGGCTGAGGCAGGAGAATCACTTGAACCTGGGTGGTGGAGGTTGCAGTGAGCCAAGATTGCACCACTGCACTCCAGCCTGGCTGACAGAGCAAAACTGTGTCTCAAAATAAATAAAAATTTAAAAAAGCAATGGTAACCTCTGACTTCCACAGGAGACAGGGAGTGAGCCACAGCAGGAAGTTTAGAGCCGGACCTCTCTTATCTGAGCATTTCAGGCTTCTTGGGGGCAGGACAGTATATGATCCTGCTGCATTTCTCTCAGCAAAAGAAAAAAAAGTGTCATCAGCTCTTTCATGGATATGAGTTTTCAGTGGAAAAGTGTTTCTGCCTCATCGTCCTCCTGTTTCATATAATGCCTTCAGATGGTTTTACAACAGCCCTGTGTGCTGAAATGAGGCAAACATGGCCTGTGGTTCTTTCCTGTTACAGGAAGCAGTGTTCACATTGCCCAGTATTTTAAAACCCAAAATTGACCCTTGCCTAAGTGCAGCATAAAGTATTTTGTAAGTCAAGATGTTTTGATTTTTTGTTGATGTCATCATTTTATTATAGAGTTTCTAGTTATGAACACAAGTTAATGGATTTTAATTTTATTTTTGAGATGGAGACTTGCTCTATTGCCCAGGCTGTAGTGCAATGGCACAATCTTGGCTCACTGCAACCTCTGCCTCCGGGTTCAAGTGATTCTCCTGCTTCAGCCTTCCAAGTAGCTGAGATTACAGGTGCCTGCTACCACGCCCGACTAATTTTTGTATTTTTAGTAGAAACAGGGTTTCACCATGTTGGCCAGGCTGGTCTCGATCTCCTGACTTCGAGTGATCCACCTGCCTTGGCCTCCCAAAGTGCTGGGATTACAGGTGTGAGCCACCGTGCCCGGTCAAGTTATGGACTCTTAACAAGCTTCTTATCAACTGGCAAACTTCAACTATTTCTTTATTTTATTTTATGCATTTGTTTATTTTGAGACAGGGTCTCGCTCTGTCGCCCAGGCCGAAGTGCAGTGATGTGATCACAGCTCACTGTAGCTTTGACCATCTGGGCTCACGCAATCTTCCCACCTCAGCTTCCTGAGTAGCTAGGATGACAGGTGCATACCACCACACTTGGCTAATTTAAAAAATTTTTTAAGAGATAGGTTCTTACTATGTTGCCCAGGCTGGTCTCAAACTCCTGGGATCAAGCAATCTTCCTGCCTCAAAAAAAGTTTATCTTTGTTCTCTTATGACTAGGATAGTGGAAGTTTAGTTTTTAATTCTGAATTACAGAATTACAGTTATTGACCTTGCGTTGCCTCGTAGCTCCTGGCTGCTCTTTGTGGAGTTTAGGGACCATCAGAATCAGGAGCTCCTGGGAGCTTGTTAGAAATGCAGAATTTCAGGCCCCTCCGCAGACCTACTGAGAATCTGCATTTTAAGAAGGTGTGATTTTCTGACGAGCTCAAGTCTCTCTCCAGCCTCCCCTAGGCTTCATTGTACATCTGATACCTCCTCCAGCAGCTCTCTAACTCCTAGCTCTCCTAATTAAAGATGTTGTTGCTATGAGTCCCGTTTCCATTTATCATTACACTGGTAGTTAATATTAGTGGGAAGCTTACTGGCTTTCTTGATAAAAAGTCACTATCAATGTTTGAATAAGTGAACGTGTATTCATTTGTCTGGCTGTTGACAATGTTTAGTCTAAATTCTCAAAAGACAGTGGCTGTGTTTATTTCTGTCTCTCACACTGTTCCCGAGACAGGCCTTACACTCATATTTAGGTGATCCTGAGATGTCCAGCATTGTGTCATAATTCTTAAGCAATATCATCTGAGACTAAAGCTGAGTTTCCTAAGAGGTGAACATGAGGAATCAAACAGGTAAAATAACCATGTTGGAGATGATCTCATTGACAAAGCTGCTTTATTTACCCCCTTCTGGCCAGAACACAATTCCATTTTTTAACGTATCATCATGTACCACATAATGACAAATCAGTCCACAAGAGAGCACATGTGCAATGGTGGTTCCTTAAGCTTGTAATAGAGGTGCCCCCTACAGGTGTACCATTTCTTACGTTTCACACTGTATTTTCACTGTACCATTTCTATGTTTGGATATGTTTAGATACACAAACACCTATCATCGTGTTACCATTGCCTACAGTATCCAGTCTAGTAATGTGCTGTGCAGGTTTGTAGCCTAGGAGCAGGAGGCCATACCATGTAGCTCAGGTGTATCGTAGGCAACACCATCTGGGTTTGTGTAAGTGTACTCTATGATGTTGGCACAATGACAAAATTGCCTAACAACACATTTTTCAGAATGCGTCTCTGTCATTAAGCAATGCCCAACTGTATGTGTAATATTTTAAAGATTTCAATAATGTACTTTAAAAATACATCCCCCTCCAATGTGTGTGGTGGTGGTGGTGGTGTTCTGATTTTGGTATGTTTGTTTGTTGCAAATGAAAAATGTATTTGATGTCTAAGATACCCTAAATAGAAGCCATAGTTTAACATTTTATATGAGAAATATTTTGTTATAAATTGACATAAATTCCTAGGAAAATACTGAAATTGTCAATAAAATAAGTTCATTACCTCTTAGTGTATGTTATTTTTAAAATAAACTATAATCTATAGTTCATTATCAAATCAAAATTACATGAGGATTAAGAAAAGCAAAGACTACATAATGCAATAATGTTCTGTACCTATAGTGTTCTGCACTATACCAGTAAGCTTGATTAGAAGAATGTTCTGTAAGTAGCATTTTCTAACTGATTCTGTGTATTCTAGCCATGAGAATCTTGACGGAACCCATTGTGTAGAAACCAACAGACCCAGGTATCCAATGATAAACATCTCTGGAAGGCCTTTGTCTTCAGCTGAAGCTGGACAATTGTACTCATAGATGTTAAGATACGGTCTCTGGAACACAAAGACCTAAGGGCAGACCTTATCTCTACCAGTTACTGTTTGACCTTGAGCAATTACAATTCCTCATCTTTAAAAGGGGAATCATAGTTCCCTCCTATATCATTGCCATAATGTGAGGATTAAATGCAGTAATACCATATAAAATATTTAGAGCTGTATTAGTGAGTATTATAATTGTTGATTTAGGCTGTAACAATTACAAAACAGTAGTCAGTATTCGTAAGTTGTTTCATTTAAAGATGTTTTAAATTTAATGCAATTGAAGGGCTAGGTTCCCATCTCCTGACAAATAAATTCTAAGTAATACTGTATCCTTTTGCAGGTAGAAGAAGCGGATGATTGGCTCAGACATGGAAACCCGTGGGAAAAGTCCCGCCCAGAATTCATGCTGCCTGTGCACTTCTATGGAAAAGTAGAACACACCAAGACCGGGACCAAGTGGATCGACACTCAGGTATTCAGAGTGCTCATATAGCCAGCATTTTGTATGGTATTTAGCACAGTAGACAATACATTGAATATGTAGCATACAGTGTGATATTGAGTATAGAGCATATCATGTATTAAATAATAGAATACATTTTTGTAAATAAATCTGTTACTTCTCTTACTGCAACCCACTTGTTCTGGAGACAAGGTAGCTGAGGCAAGAGAGAAGTGACCCCCTGAAGGTCAGGTGACTTACAAGGGTCATTTTGCAAACAGCTTTATCAGAAAATTCTTAGTTTTTTTTTTGTTTTGTTTTGCTTTGCTTTGTTTTGTTTTGTTTTTGAGATGGAGTCTCCCACTCTCTCCTGGACTGGAATGCAATGGCATGAACTCAGTTCACTGCACTCTCCGCCACTGCGCCTGGCCAGAAAGTTGTCAGTTCTATAGTAATCAGCAAACTTACCTCTTCGTTTTTATGTTAAGTTGTTGATACAAAATTGAATAATTTTAAATGTCATTTCTGGCTGGGCGCAGTGGCTCATGCCTGTAATCCCAGCACTTAGGAAGGCCGAGGCAGATGGATTACCTAAGATCAGGAGTTCAAGACCAGCCTGGCCAACATGGTGAAACCCTAATCTCTACTAAAAATAGAAAAATTAACCAGGCATGATGGTGGGCACCTGTAATCCCGGCTACTCATGGGGTTTGGGGGGCGGGGCTGATGCAGTAGAATTGCTTGAACCTGGGAGGCAGAGGTTGCAGTGAGTTGAGATCACGCCATTGCACTACAGCCTAGGTAACAAGAGTGAAATTGTCTCAACAAAGAAAAGTCATTTCTCACCTCAGCACCAAATATTTACATTTATTTGCAACTTCAAAGGGATTAATATTTAATACTGAAGAATTTATTCAAAAGATTACCAAAGTCCTTATTTATTATGAAGTCAGCAAAATAATGCAAAATACTGCAAACTGTTATTTTGTGCCATATCCCTCCTAGAGAAATGATGCTGGTGTCTATTCAAGTGTACTTATTTCATGGGCATGTATTTATCCTGCCACTAAATTTGAGTTTTGCCCTGTCACTGAAAGAAGGCACTATCAGTGCTGGTTTGAGCTCTGCTGTCTTCATGCCCACTGATAAATAATCTCTACTAACTAAGGGCCAAACAATATGCAGCACTGGCCATTCTTTTGAAACTTAAAGAAAACGATGAAATCAAGTAAATGATATTCTTATATGTGAAAATTGGGAGAAAAATTTAGTATTATAGTGTTATACTTGGTTGGTTTGATATTATTCTTCCAAAATAAATGTTTCATTTTACTTCAGAAGTGCCAAGAGCTGTGTTATAGCTGCTTTAAAAAACAACAACAAAAAAACTGATGGTTTATTTTGCTAATCCATGTAGAGCTATTCACAGTTCAGAAAAATAACGACATTTTAAAAACTGTTTCCTATCTGAACGTACATTTATTTAGCACATGAAATAGCAGATTAGAAGTTGAAATAAGCAATTAAAGCATAATGGTATATGAAGAGTAAACTAATACTGTGACTTAAAGATAAGTTCTTATTTTGGTTTTGGTGTTTGTTTGTTTTCATTTTGGTTAAACAGTAGACCACAATCTAAGTTTACAAATATCATCAGGAAAGCTGTACACAAGTCAGTCATTAATACACCCCCCAAAAATATCACATGTGTTTGATATTAAAGTAGAAAGTATTTTCTATTAGACTTTGGTACCTAAACTTAATCAGCGGCTTTTGATCTGTCTAATAATATGCAGTTTGCTGGCCAGGCGTGGTGGCTCACACCTGTAATCCCAGCACTTTGGGAAGCCAAGGCAGGCAGATCATTTGAAGTCTGGAGTTCAAGAGTTCGAGACCAGCCTGACCAACATAGTGAACCCCATCTCTACTAAAAATACAAAAAAAAAAAAAAAAATTAGCTAGGCATGGTGGCCCATTGCCTGTAGTCCCAGCTCCTTGGGAGGCTGAGGCAGGAGAATTGCTTGAACCCAGGAGATGGAGGTTGAAGTGAGCCAAGATTGTGCCACTGCACTCCAGTCTGGGTGACAGGTGAGACTCCATCTCAAAAAAATAAAATTAAAATTAAAATATGTGGTTTACACAATCAATCCTGGAAGCATTTTATTTACACTGTGGGTCCCACTACTGAGCTAACTTGTATTTACAAAGCACCTCTAGATATTTTAATAATGTATCCAGAAATTCAATTAGAGAGAGTGTGTATTTCTGGGCCCACAGAGGCAAGGTTATGGGGCAGCAGTAACATAAGTTAGCTGGCCCAAGCCATGCAACTTAGCTTCATAGACTGAAGTCATCACATGAATTAACCCCAAGCTGATACCCAGTGAGGTCAGAGCATGAGGCCAGATGTGTTCTGTGTGTGCATGGGATGGCTTCCAATAAAGTGAAATGACACAGTCATGTGTCAGTCTAGATCCTCTAGGAAGCAGACACCAGAGAGAATGAGAAGTGCAAGTGACATATTGGGGGATGCCTATAAAAGATCAAGGGGAGAGGGAGCAGAACAAGGTAGAAAGTCTTCAAACTGTGACACAGCTGTGCCACCTGTGAAAGGAGACCATGGTGCCACTCTGAGCAAGTGGCCAGGCTGATGGAGCCTGAGACTAAAGATTACCCATTCAAGAAGTCTTGACCCTAGTGTCCCAACAACATGGAGCATCCCAGAGGGCACAGCCTTGGTGTGAGCTCTGAGGGAGCAAGTTCTCTTAGAAGTTCTCTGAAAGATCTAAGGTGTGCACTTTCTGGATTACCTTGATTATGCTTCAAGGGTCAGAAGGCTCAAAGTCTTGTTTGAACCCGGACTCAATCCCAGCCTGTAAATGACTTTCCCTGGCTGATCACTTTTGTCTCTTAATGAAAGATATAAATTAGGGTGATTTATTACTTCGAGGTCATAGTGATCATGAAAGCATGACTGAATATATGTGATTGATATGGACGATAATGCTTCATTCATTCATTCATTCATAATTCAGCAGACCGAATTAAAGAGATACGTGTTTAGGTTTCAGTCCTGCCATGTCCGTGACCTTGGGCAAGTCACTTGTCTCTTAGCTTCAGCTCCCTCATGTCCAAAATGAGTGGGTTGCACTAAATAAGATCCAGCATCCTCCAGTTCAATTATTCTGTCATTCTCCTTCCTTTGAGCTTGACTCTGATGCAGCAGGGAATAAACATGAATCATTTCTCACAATAAATTTTCGATATACTGTGAAACATTGTTCATCTTCCTGTTCTCCATTTCAGTGACTGTCACAAAGATCAAGCTAGATTTTCCAAAGCTTACCACTTAGACTCAACTCAGCTAATTATCAGCTGATTTGGCAGATCACTATAGGAATCACTAAAATAACTCCTTATGCAACTTTTAGAAATCTAGCACAACATTTTAAATATTACATGTGACGTTATATCTTCATAAGTTTCCTATTCCATTGATTTTCATATTTGAAATCAGATCACTGAAAAACCTATGCAAAACGTATTCTAAGTGCTATTTTTTGGTGGGTACAGATTTATATTGTCATTTTGTTCGTATATCATATTTTATTATTATTAGAGCAATGGCTTGATCTGAAACATGAAAGATAAACTTTTTAAGTACTAATAGCACATCCTTCCATTCCACTGCATTTATATCAGGGAAAGGGCATTTGGGAGAGTCAACATAGAAATACCATAAAGGGGCCGGTTGCGGTGGCTCACGGCTGTAATCTCAGCACTTTGGGAGGCTGAGGAGGGTGGATCATGAGGTCAAGAGACCAAGATCATCCTGGCCAACATGGTGAAACCCTGTCTCTACTAAAAAATCCAAAAGTTATCTGGGCGTGGTGGCAGGCACCTGTAGTCCCAATTACTTGGGAGGCTGAAGCAGGAGAATCGCTGGAACCCGGGAGGTGGAGGGTGCAGTGAACCGAGATCATGCCATTACACTCCAACCTGGCAACAGAGCAAGACGCCATTAAAAACAAACAAAAAAAAAAAACCAAAAAAACAGAAAAAGAAATACGGTAAAGGATTTCTTTACATCATCAGTGTGGACTGTTCCAGTTACCAGATTGTACCAGGTCGGGAAGGAAACCGTCCTTCTAATTATATGTTCCTCTAATACCCTCTGCAGCCTGGGACCCTCTTCTCGGTTTAGGCCTCGCACAATTTGAGTTGGTGATGGAGCCAGGAATAGAATTTCATTGCAGTCTCATAATCCCTTGTTCAACCTATGTCATCACACTTGGGAAACAATGAGCAGCTGCTTCTGTTTAATCCCACAGGTGGTCCTGGCTCTGCCATATGACACCCCAGTGCCTGGATACATGAATAACACCGTGAACACCATGCGCCTCTGGTCTGCTCGGGCACCCAATGACTTTAACCTCAGAGACTGTGAGTATAGCACAGGCGTTGGTTTCTTTATCCATGTGCTTACTCTTTTTGATTGGTAGTTAGAACCAAGTTGAGCTTGAAACAAACAAAAAAGCCTTTGAGTTTCTGATCTGAACGTCAGTGACTAAGCAGGCATTGTATGGAGGAAGCAGGGCATTTTTTAAACAATCTTCAGTTTGACCCTCTCGGACTCTCATGTGAAGTCCAGCATGAAGATATGTTGAAATCCTTTGGGATTTTTAGGAATTTTAGGAATCCCACATGACACACAGCAAACAGCCAGTGAGATCAAGAGGTTTCCAAAAACAATGGCTGGTTTCACTATGTATTGTTTCTCTGACTTTCCCCTAGTTAATGTTGGAGACTACATTCAGGCTGTGCTGGACCGAAACCTGGCTGAGAACATCTCCCGGGTCCTCTATCCCAATGACAATGTGAGTGATCAGGATTGCTTTCTCAGTGGCAACAGCAGCAGCTTATTCCACAAGAGCCTGTTCAGTAACCCATAAAACACATTTAATATAATGCTTTTCCATGTGCAGAACAAGCTCCACATTTCTTCCTGAATTGTCTAGATTTCCCCTCCTAACCAAGTGAGGAAAACAAATCTGTATAATTCATGAAATCAGAATTGGTATTTTGCCCTTGATTCGTGACCCCATCACTAATTGGGAGTTTCTGGAGATGTATTTTAAAACAAAACCTGGATATAAGAGATGAAGTAAATCACTGGTGAAGCACTACTTCTTTTCCAGATAGAAATTTCATCTGCAAAGTCAGAATCACTGCAGATTTCCTGCCTCGCCCCTTCGCTCACTGACTAGGCACTTTCTGGTTCTCTACCCTAATGCTAGGTGGAGTCAGAGACCTTGGAAAAGACCCATAAACAAACATCTGTTTCTTCTGCCACTTACTTATGTCTTTAAACTTTTTCTTATCATTGATTATTCTAATTTTATTGTAAATATAGCTTAGTTAAACACACACACACGCACACACATGCACTTTGGACTGGGTGCAATGGCTCACGACTGTAATCCTAGAACTTTGGGAGGCTGAGGTGGGCAGATCATTGCAGGTCAGGAGTTCAAGACCAGCCTGGCCAACATGGCGAAGCTTTGTCTCTACTAAAAATACAAAATATTAGCCAGATGTGGTGGTGGGCACCTGTAATCCCAGAAACTCGGGAGGCTGAGGCAGAACAATTGCTTGAGCCTGGGAGACAGGTTGCAGTGAGCCGAGATTATACCACTGCACTCCAGCCTGGATGACAGAACAGCACTCCATCTCACAACCAAACAAAACAGTAACAAAAACAAAACACACTTGCAACAGATCTCAGAAAACTGCTATTGCTTCTTGGTTGTTTTAAATATAAGTAACTCTAAACTTCTCTGTGCATAAAATCATTTTCTCGAAGCTGTAATGATTTTCTTTAAGTCATCTCAGAAGCAATAAAATTAGCACTCTGCTTTATAAAGATGGCAAAAAACAAGGATTTTAGGAGCACTAGGACATAAATAGTCCTTAATACCAGATGTCCACTTGGTGTTAAAATCATAATTTCTCAGAAGGCAGTTTCACTGCAGCATTTTTAGGAACCTAATGATATATGCTATTATTCTTTTGAGGAAAGCATTGTGACTTCAGTACATTTCAGAGAAATCTTAACCCAAAAGCAAAAAGTTATTCTACGTCAGGGTCAAAGTAAGAATTCTCCCAAGTCTGGGACCATACTACCAACCCAGACTGAGGCTCCAAGGGCTTGAAATTAATCCTCCTGTCTTCCATAAGGACCAAAGCTAATTTTACTAGGAAATAATCATCTGCAGTAACTGACAATACATACTAAATTAGCATGGGTAAAAAGTTGGCTAGGTTTGTAGGCTGAAAGGTGGCTCTCAGGATCATGTTTTTGCTTGCTTGTTTGTTTGTTTGTTAGAGTGAACTGATAAACCCTTTTTGTACTGTAATTACAATAACAAATTCATTCTTCTCCTCAACTTAGCCATAGCCCTCATTCAAACATTGGTCTCTCTTCCAAAAAGCCTGCACCTTTCTTTGCTTTGCAGCTTTAAGATATTTGTTCCCTGCTTGAAACTCTTGAAAGACTTTGGATTGCCTAGAAGCGAAGGACAGAATCTTAGTTATGTTACCTAAGTTCTTCAATGGTGTGGTCACCAGTCCCCTGATGCATCTTCCATGATTTTGCCCAACAATAGCCCCCGGCTGTGCAGGACTATTGACCCTGTTCCTTCCCACCTCCTTGCCTTGCACAGCATCCTTTGCTTGCAGGGAATATTCTGGCCCTCTGTGTCAATTCTGACACAATCCTACTCATCTTTCAGGGCTTAGATGAAGAATTACCTGATCACGCAGGTTCTCAAAATACTGTATATTTAGGTTAACTTAATTATTTTTTGTAAATCATCACATTGTATTTATAGCCTTCTTTACACTCCTCCTCTCCCTACTAACTTGAACTTCTTGAGGTCAAGGATTGTGTTTAATTAATCATTTTATTTCTTAAAACTTTCCTGGCTCAATAAATGTTACAGTTTATTAGAGATGAATTCAATAGTGCTATTTATTATTTTTGAGAATAATGACTTCATTATAATTTTTATAATGATATATGTCATTAGAAAAAATATTTAAGTAACATAAAACGTACCAAGAATAAAATAAAATCTCATTCCTCATTCTACCACCTATAAATTCCCTTTGATACAGGTTGAGTATACCTTATCCAAAATGCTTGGGACCAGTAGTGTTTCAGAATTCAGATGTTTTCAGATTTTGGAATATTTGTATATAGGATAATGAGGTATCTTGAGGATAGGACCCAAGTTTAAAGACAAATTCCATTTATGTTACATATACACATTATACACACAGACTGAAGCAATTTTATACAATATTTTTAGTAGTTCTGTGCATGAAACAAAGTTTTGACTGTATGTTGATTATGACCTGTCACATGAGGTCAGAGGTAAAATTTTTCACTTGGCAGTTCACGTGAGTACTCAAAAAGTTTCAGATTTTGGATTTCCAAATTAGAGATGCTCAACCTGTACTATGAATCCAGATGGTTTTCTATTAATGGCTTTTCATTTTTAATCCAGACTTTCAATTATCAAAGTTGTACATACACATAATTGATTTTCTGTATACTTACCTCCATATTTCTTTTTGTTTTTGTTTTGTTTTTTTGACATGAATTCTTGTTCTTTCACCCAGGCTAGAATGCGATGATGGAATCTCTGCTCACTACAACTTTTGCCTCCCAGGTTCAAGTGATTCTCCCGCCTCAGCCTCCTGAGTAGCTGGGATTACAGGCGCGTGCCACCACACCTGGCTAATTTTTTGTATTTTTAGTAGAGTCAGGGTTTCACCATGTTGGTCAGGCTGGTCTCAAACTCCTGACCTTGTGATCCAGCCACCTCAGCCTCCCAGAGTGCTGGGATTATAGGCATGAGCCACCGCACCTGCCTTACCTCCATATTTCTGAATAACATGCAGTTACTGCTATTTCTTGATTTTTTTTCATGTTTACAATTGTTTGTTGACACCCCACCATTGAAGATGAGTATCTAGCTCACATCCTCACATATACTCCCATCCTCACCACATGAACACATACTTCCCATCCCCAATTCTCTCAACATACTTACATCATAATTTCCATCAGCTCCTTAATCAGCATTTACATTATTGTGACTATATAAATGCTACAGACAGCTGATCTGTGCATATGTGTGTCCTCATATAATGATTACTTTTCTTTTTCTTAAAATGTTTAACTTATCCTGGAATTAATTGTTCATTGCTTTGCTTGCTTGGTTTTCTGAGTAATTTTCCCTAATTTAGCCCATACTCTACCCAGTTATATACATTTCATCTCAATATGTTCACATTAGATATTCCATTAACTTAGTCTTTTTTTCTGATAATTACTTTTTAGTTCATTTAAATATCCACTCTCAGTAGTTAAATCCCAGAGGAAAATGCTAATTATAGGAGTGTGTTTAACTGAAAAAGACTCATATTTCCATTTCAGTTTAGGCAATTATTCTTGATGAAGGTACACAAACTAATGTTGCAATAAAGCCTCCATCAAGTATCTCATACTTAAGCAAAGACCCCCAAATCATAATTTTTAGCTTATTGCAGCTTTCATTAAAAATATGTTTTATGGCCTGGTGAGGTGGCTCATGCCTGTAATCCCAGAACTTTGGGAGGCCAAGATGGGCAGATCCCTTGAGCTCAGAAGTTCAGGACCAGCCTGGGCAATGTGATGAAACCCTGTCTCTACAAAAGATGCAAAACTTAGCCAGGTATGGTGGTACATGCCTGTAGTCCCAGCTACTCAGGAAGCTGAGGTGAGAGGATTGCTGGAGACTGAGAGGCAGAGGTTGCAGTGAGCCAAGATCACATCACTGCACCCCAGCTTGGGTGACAGAGCCAGACCCTGTCTCAAAAATGTAAATGTAAATAAATAAATAATATGTTATATAAATATATAATTTTAAATATAACATATTTTTTATCATACATATGCATATGTATATGTTTGATATTATCTGTGATCCAGGAAATAACCAATATATTCCTATCAGGCTATAAAACAGGAAACCCTGACACAGGTCAGTGAAATAGGATCACTGGCATAGGTCCGTGATAATACTTTTAATAATTAGGGAGTTTAGAGCCCCAGATATTCTATATGCAGACCCCTATGCTCATGTTTGTTACTTTTAATAATATTCTGGTCCAAGGCTCACATTTGGGGGTCAGGGTTCTCATCATTTAAAAAATTTTAATGTTAATAGTTTTAGGAGCACAGATAGTTTTTGGTTACATGGCTAAGTTTTTTCATGGTGATTTCTGAGATTTTACACACCTGTCAGCTAAGCAGTGTACACCCAGTAAGTCGTCTTTTATCCCTCAAGTCCTCAAAGTCCATTATATCATTCTTATGACTTTGCATCCTTATAGCTTAGCTCCCACTTACAAGTGAGAACATATGATATTCAGTTTTCTATTCCTGAGTTACTTCACTTAGAAAAATAGCTTCCAGCTCCATCCAAATTGCTGCAAAAGACATTATTTTGTTCCTTTCTATGGCTGAGTAGTATTCCATGGTGTATATAGCTCACATTTTTTTTATTCACTCGTTGGTTGATGGGCACCTAGATTGGTTCCATATCTTTGCACACACACATGTGTATAGCAGTGCATATGTCTTTTTCATATAATAACTTCTTTTCCTTTGGCTAGATACCCAGTAGTGAGATTGTTGGATCAAATGGTAGATCTACTTTTAGTTCTTTAAGGAATCACTGTTTTCCACAGTGGCTGTACTAATTTACACTCCCACCAGCAGTGTAAAAGTGTTCCCTTTTTACCACATCCACGCCAACACCTATTGTTTTTTGACTTTTTAATTATGGCCATTCTTGCAGGAGTAAGGTGGTATCTCATTGTGATTTTAATTTACATCTCCCTGATAATTAGTAATATTGAGCACTTTTTCATGTTTGTTGGCTGTTTGTATATCTTCTTTTGAGAAGAATTGTCTATTCATGTCCTTTGCCACTTTTTGTTGGGATTATTTCGGTTTTTTTCTTGCTGATTTGATGAGTTCCTTATAGATTCTGGATATTAGTCAAGGCTCACATTTTTAATAGAAGTTACAGTTTTTAATTCTACCACCAGATAAAGATAGGGCAGCTCCATGAGCTATAAAATCGAAGTGTGATGGCTCAGGGTTAGGACCATTCCTTGGTGACATTTACACAGTCAAGCTGACCGACAGCAAATTTATGTGGGAGGAAGTTGGAAGCTGGCCGCCATCATGGCCTCTAAGGCCTCCACCCTACACAACATGGCCTGGCTGCAATCCTGTCTCACAGTCATGTAGGGCATTCTCAGCCAGTTGTGGTTCTCCACATGGTCCATGGCTGCCATAGCTTCCCAACATGTTGCCTGCCAGGCATGTGACTGCAGGGAGGAGGGCAGTCATGGACATGGTGCTGGTTGTGCTCAACTGTAGGAACTGGGGATAAGGTCTGAGGCCAAGCGTCCTTGGGTTGTCAATTAACCTTTCTCTCATCTTCTTCCCTATTTTTGAAAGCACTTGGTACTACCAATTCCTGAGCCTTGAGGGGCTCCAATGTACACACCGAGTTGCTGTTGGCTCTTCTCTACTACCAGGTCAGGATTTGGCTGTCTTGGGTCTTCTGACTCACTCACCACTCATGCATCTGGTTTTCAGCCTCTAAAAGGTTGTTGCTGTTGTCTTTCCTCCGACCTCTTTCTCCTTTATCTGTATGCTCTTGGAGAATCCTTTTACTGCCTTTTTAATGGAATCTCAGAAACGAGCAAAGGTTCACAGTTTGGCATTCAAACCGCCATCCCTCAGCAGATGTCCAGTAGGCCTTAGCCTTAAAGTTCCCAGGCTAGGAGACACCAGTCACATTCTGGCCACACCTGCAATATGAAACACTTTCATCCCATCTCTCTGGCTTGAAGTTTTTTGAAGGGAAGGAGCTCAGACTGAAGCAGGAATACTTCGTGGTGGCTGCAACCTTGCAAGATATCATCCGCCGATTCAAAGCCTCCAAGTTTGGCTCCACTAGTGGTGCAGGAACTGTGTTTGATGCCTTCCCAGATCAGGCAAGTATTCACTCTGTGGATGTAGGTGGGGTCCACTGAGGGGCTGACTGAGATTTCCTATCAGATTAATTCCTCTCTCTCAATGCTAAAAAGGTAGAGCAGGAATAGTGTGCATCAAGCATTTCATAGAAGGTGAGCATATCATCAGGTGCTTTCTCCAGATGTGTTAGGACAAGGAGGCCAGACCCTGAGCCATCCTTCACCTTCACGCTGATGTCTTTCCCCACCCAGGTGGCCATCCAGCTGAATGACACTCACCCTGCACTTGCCATCCCTGAGCTGATGAGGATTTTTGTGGATATTGAAAAATTGCCCTGGTCCAAGGTCTGGATAGTTTGGCTTCTTTTTCCTTTAATTAATCAGAATGCCTGCAGTTTAAAGACTTTGCCAAAAACTCCCTTTTTAGTTTTTCAAACTAAGTTATTGTTGCTAACTTCCAACAGTTATTCCCTAATGCTGACCTTTCTCCATCCTTAGAGTTTTACAGGGAAGTAAAGCTATAAGTAAATGAATACATTCGTAATGGGACACAAATCAGTAGCTGTAGTAAAGCTTATATGGTGTTTACCATTTTTGTGTTGAAAAAGATTCAAAATTAAATTCTCTAACCTCAGAAGACAGCTAATTGAGTGTCCCCATAGCTGTAGAAGTCAGCATTTTATATACTTTGTACTTGCTGACAGCACTACTTATGTTTTTATTTCTCAGTCTTTGTATATTTGATGAATAAAAGGCATGTAAGGATAGTAGATAGATCGATCAAAATGCTGTCTTAATTTCACCAGACAGTTTTACAAATGGCTTCCCCTCACACCCAGAACATGTTTTCATTATCTGGACTATTCAAGAACTTAGTGGAATCGAGTGTGTCTGACTAGGCACACTCAGAATTGTCCTGTTGCAGGAAGGGCAGGGTTGAAGAAGGGTGTGGTCTGTGCAGTGGGGTCCCCCCACCTGCAGGGGAAGCAGCTGACACTTCCCCTTCCCCCAGGCGTGGGAGCTCACCCAGAAGACCTTCGCTTACACCAACCACACGGTGCTTCCGGAAGCCCTGGAGCGCTGGCCCGTGGACCTGGTGGAGAAGCTGCTCCCTCGACATTTGGAAATCATTTATGAGATAAATCAGAAGCATTTAGATGTAAGTCATTTTGAGAGATTTTTTTCCCTTCATGAGAGCAAAGTCTTAAGGTGTTACATATGGCTACAGTGTTCCCTCTTACCAAACATCTTTCGATCATTGATACATCAAAAGTACTCAAGTTTGAGTGGGGTTCCAGCAAAGGCAGCTTTTTGAAAGTGCTGAAATGGAGGGATGGCACCTCCCTAGAGCTAACTCAGCCCCTCTCCATGGAAGTGAAGTTTATTATATTGAGTACACCAAAAATTTTGCTTAAGACATGAACAACTTTATCCCAATGGTGCTTTAAACCTGAGTGACCAGCAAGGTCTTTCTCTTCCTTTGGCTAGAGAATTGTGGCCTTATTTCCTAAAGACGTTGACCGTCTGAGAAGGATGTCTCTGATAGAAGAGGAAGGAAGCAAAAGGATCAACATGGCCCATCTCTGCATTGTGGGCTCCCATGCTGTGAATGGCGTGGCTAAAATCCACTCAAACATCGTGAAGACTGAAGTGTGAGCCTCCATGACTCTGGCAGTGGGTCTGATCCATTAATGGAATGGTGCTACTAAATGCAGGGCATTTAAAATTGCACTTAGGGATGAGGAAAGGCCTTGTTAAAATGTTTAAAAGTATTTTCTTCTATACAAAAAACTCCCCTTAAAAAAAAAAAAAGGAAAGAAAAAAATGCTTTCCTCTCTGAACCATCCTAATTCTAGACATAGGAGCCAAAACAAACAAATACCAGAAAACTATTCTACTGAAAGTGTGGTATATATGTCAGTGTGAAGAAGTCAGACGGAGGTAATTAGATTTGGAATTTTTCTAGTAATTCTTTTGAAAGGCAAATGAATTTCTATTTAAATGACAGCCGTAGCTGCTGTCAGCCTGTCCCTCTACCTTTATTTAACCTTTCTAAGCCTGCACTTGGCTTCTTGCATATAACTCTGAACTTTATCCAGTATGCAGGACCCTGCTGTTTCAGCCAGATTCAGTGATGTGTCTCCTCTATCTCCAGATTCAAGGACTTCAGTGAGCTAGAACCTGACAAGTTTCAGAATAAAACCAACGGGATCACTCCAAGGCGCTGGCTTTTACTCTGCAACCCAGGACTTGCAGAGCTCATAGCAGAGGTAACTGGGAAGTGCTGAGAGGAAAGGAGGCCTGACTAGAATGCAAGAGGCATATGGGTAGACTTATAACTGGTAAATCCCGTCTGCAGCAGGCTGGCTTCCCCAGCATGTGGCTTGTGCAGTCACACAGGGCTCTATGCTGAGTTTAAACCTCTGCTGTAGTCATCTTAAAATTATTATTATCATTATTATTATTGAAACAGTTTCACTCTGTCACCCAGGCTGGAGTGCAGTGGTGCAATCTCTGCTCACTGCAAACTCCACCTCCCGGGTTCAAGCGATTTTCCTGCCTCGGCCTCCCAAGTAGCTGGGATTATAGGCACATGTCACCATGCCCAGCTAATTTTTGTATTTTTAGTAGAGATGGGGTTTCACCATATAGGTCAGGCTGGTCTCGAATTTCCAACCCCAGGTGATCCACCCCCTCCTACCTTGGCCTCCCAAACTGCTGGGAATACAGGCATGAGCTATCATACCCAGCTGTCATCTTGAAATTCTTAATTTTAAAACAAAATGTCCCGCAAATTATGTAGCTGGTTGCAACTAACAGTATTCATAGAACACCCACATAGAAGAGAGTTTTCTCTAATAAAAGAGGATAACAAAGCTCATATAAAAAAACTAATATAACCTTGGTTCCTGGGACTCTGATAAGTAGATTTCCTGTTTTTAACACTTCAATACCAGTGAAGCTGGCTGAGTGCAATGGCTCATGCATATAATTCCAGTGCTTTGGGAGGCCTAGGCAGGAGACTCACTTGAGGCCAGGAGTTGGAAACCAGCCTGGGCAACATAATGAACCCTGCACCCCTTGTCTCTGCAAAAATAAAATTTTAAAAAGTAGCCAGGTACGGTGGCATGCACCTGTAATACTGGCTACTGGGAGGCCAAGGCAAGTGGATTGCTTGAGCCCACGAGGTCAAGGCTGCAGTGAGCTATGATCACGACACTGTATTCCAGCCTGAGTGACAGGGTGAGATCCTAAAAAATTAAATAAAAACAAAATAGGCCGGGGGAGTGGCTCACACCTGTAATTCCAGCACTTTGGGAAGCCAAGAGAGGCAGATCATGAGGTCAGGAGTTCAAGACCAGCCTGATTAATATGGTAAAATCTCATCCCTGCTAAAAATATAAAAATTAACCTGGCATGGTGGCACTTGCCTGTAGTCTCAGCTACTCAGGAGGCTGAGGCAGGAGAATCGCTTGAAGCTGGGAGGCAGAGGTTGCAGTGAGCCAAGATCCTGCCACTCCACTCCAGCCTGGGCAGCAGAGCGAGACTCTGTCTCAAAAATAAATAAATTAATTAATTAAAATAATTTTTAAAATACCACTGAACCTACATTTAAGATACTAGCAAAAGTGATCTTCCCACATAAAATTTTTAGCCTCTTCTTTGAGTCAAACTATCCTGTGTTCTGTGTGATATGTGAACTGCACTGGGATAAGTGATGGAGAGAAATACTGACAGGAACTTCCTGTTTGGGCTTGATTACCATTCCTAAATTGAAGTCACCTTTTCCTTTGAATTGAAAGAAAATTGGGGAAGACTATGTGAAAGACCTGAGCCAGCTGACAAAGCTCCACAGCTTCCTGGGTGATGATGTCTTCCTCCGGGAACTCTCCAATGTGAAGCAGGTGAGCCTTCCAGGTGTGGGTCTTCTCCCGGTCACTCACTTTGAGGGTTTATCCTGTAGTTTTTAAAAACAGACCACTGAGCCAGGCACAGTGGCTCACACCTGTAATTCTAGCACTTTGGGAGGCCGACGAGGGTGAATCACCTGAGGTCAGGGGTTCAAGACCACCCTGGCAAACATGGTGAAACTCCGTCTCTACTAAAATTTCAAAAATTAGCCGGGCAGTAGTGATGTATGCCTGTGATCCCCGACAGGAGAATCACTTGAACGTGTGAGAGGTGGTGATTGCAATGATCCAAGATCGTGCCACTGCACTCCAGCCTAGGCGAAAGAGTGAGACTTGGTCTCAAAAAAATAAAAATTAAAAAACCGACCACCCAATGCTTCTGAGCCAAAAGAGCTCTGGCACCATGCACTGTCTCAACAGGAGAATAAGCTGAAGTTTTCTCAGTTCCTGGAGAAGGAGTACAAAATGAAGATCAATCCATCCTCCATGTTTGACGTCCACGTGAAGAGAATACACGAGTACAAGCGACAGCTCTTGAACTGTCTGCACGTGATCACAATGTACAACCGTGAGTCAGCCCTGTAGCCAACAAGCCCGCTTCCAGGTGGAAGCAGCAGCTTCAGCGTGGGTCTCACCGCCCTGACCTTCAGCTGTCTTTCATTCCATCCGCTTCTCCATCTTTTTCAGGCATTAAGAAAGACCCTAAGAAGTTATTTGTGCCAAGGACAGTTATCATTGGTGGTAAAGTAAGTTGATTCTATTCAATGGAGACTTGGGGTCTCTAATCTCTTGCTGTTCTTCTACTTCATCATGGCTGCCTTCTGTCAATGCATTTGAACTTCTTCCCCAAGGCTGCCCCAGGATATCACATGGCCAAAATGATCATAAAGCTGATCACTTCAGTGGCAGATGTGGTGAACAACGACCCCATGGTTGGAAGCAAGTTAAAAGTCATCTTCTTGGAGAACTACAGAGTATCTCTTGCTGAAAAAGGTACTATCCTCATTGCAAAACATGCAGGGGCCAGGGCAAACTCTAGCGATTACATGGTATGAAAGATGGTACAGCCAACCTCCAGGAGCTAGTAACTTAAGACAGAAGGTGTCATTCTTGTGCAGAATAAGGGCCTAAGGTAAGCATTTTTAAAGTGACCCAAGTCACAATTAAATTGATGTCCTGGAGTCAGTAACAGGAATATATTTACAAGCACGTTTTCTTCCAAGTCAGTGAGAGCTAGGTGTTGGGAGAAGCAGCCTTGAGGTTTGGCATCATTTGGAACTAGCTCTAGAAAAGAGAGTAAAGGTCTTCAGTTCCCAGCCCCAGTTTTGCAAGACAACACCAATTCCCCAGTCCTCAGATATTCCTTTGGTCACCCTGTGAGAGGAAGGGCTGTCATTTGCTCATGTAGCAATAATAAATGAGGGCAGATGTCAGGCTGCCAAAGCACGAGGCTTAGATGGGCCTCACATGGGCACTCCAGCATCAAGCATGATGTTCCCACATGGGGACAGCCAGATGGGCAAGAATCCAGTGTCTCTTTCTCTTCCACTGGGTTCTTTGGTTATTTGGGTCACAAGCTCACAGAGCACCATCCACATGCAAATGCCCAACTGTGTATTCACCCACTTCCCAAACTGAAAAGATAGAAAGGGAGCTTTTTAAATTTGTGGTGTTTTTAGGTCCTCTGATGTGACTGTTTAACAACTGTCTGCATAAAGAGAAAAGAGCCAGGTTCCTAGGGATGCAAAAGAAGATACCTTTAAACCACAAACAAGCTCTCAGAGTAAAGCAGAGAAGTGGTCCTGATCTTTGTAGTCAAAGGAAGTGCTTCAGGCAGCTCTAATTTGTGTGCAAATCAGCCTGAACAGTCAGAGGCTTGATGTCTCGCCCCAGGCACACCTCAATTGTGTGTGGCTTATTTCCGTGCAGTGAAAGTGGAAGGAAGGAAGTGAAAAGTGGAAGGAATGCAGACAATCCAATCTGCAGGTTGCGAAAGAGGAGTCCTGGAGAGACACTCTGAATGTTATGGATCAAGAAAGGAAGTTCAGCATGGGCCACATAGGGAGACCACATGCCTACAAAAAATTTTTAAATTAGCTGGACATGGCTGGGCATGGTAGCTCATGCCTGTGATCCCAGCACTTTGGGAGGCTGAGGCAGGCAGAGATCGAGACCATACAGGCTAACGCGGTGAAACCTCGTCTCTACTAAAAATACAAAAAATTAGCCCGATGTGGTGGTATGTGCCTGTAGTCCCAGCTACTTGGGAGGCTGAGGCAGGAGAATCACTTGAACCAGGGAGGTAGAGGTTGGGGAAAAAAAAATGCTAGACATGGTGGTGCTTGCCTGTAGTTGCAGCTACTCAGGAGGCTGGGGAAGAAAGATTGCTTGAGCCTAGGAGGTCAAGGCTGCAGTGGGCTGTAATCACGCCACTGCACTCCAGCCTGGGTGATAGAGTGAAACACTGTGCCAAAAAGAAAAGAAAAAGAAAAATTTCAATATATTTTATAAAGTAGAAGAAGTAAAAATAAAACTGTAACAAACATTGGAGGGAATAAAAGGAAGAAGAAAAATGTAGTATCAATGTTTGTAGCAGTCAATAGATACTCTTCAAAGTTTAGAGCTCGAGAAAGAGAAATATAAACATATTAAATGGACAAAGTGGTTGCCTGAGTGAAGGGGAAAGAGTGTGATCTGCCTTCTAGAACATTTGAATGTTTATCTTGATGTGCATATGTTACTTTAATGATTAAAACAGCCCAACTAAATAAATGTTCTGATTCAATACAAGGAGATCTACAGAGACAAAATTACTAATTTTAACTTGCCTGTCTTGCAGTCATTCCAGCCACAGATCTGTCAGAGCAGATTTCCACTGCAGGCACTGAAGCCTCGGGGACAGGCAATATGAAGTTCATGCTAAATGGGGCCCTAACCATCGGGACCATGGATGGGGCCAACGTGGAAATGGCAGAGGAAGCCGGGGAAGAGAACCTGTTCATCTTTGGCATGAGGGTAGATGATGTGGCTGCTTTGGACAAGAAAGGGTGAGAGGATAGCTTCTCTTTGCTGGTCAGGTCACCCCCTCCAGAAAGTATGTGACCTCAGAGGGCTTCCTGCCCACACAGATACCCCACTGAGGGTGGAATCACATAAGAGGTGACAGCAGAACATCTCCCATGATGAGGCAGGAGAGCCTCCCGGCCACAGATTAATATTATTAAATCCAGCAAGTAAAAGTACATTCACATAGAGGAGTTGCTCTTTGTTATCACCCATTGCAGAGCTGGCCTCAAAGAGCTATTCTTTCCTCTATATGTATGATTTTTACTTTGATCAAAAGATGAACCAGTTTCTAGTTGGAAGGGTTGCCTGTAATTTAAACCATGATCTAGTGCTCCTTTAAGATCTCAAAGAGATGGACTAAAATGTGATAGAAAATAGACATGGGTGTATAGAAGCATTTGGGAACATTTATTTTCACATAATATCTGGATGGATTTATTAAGCTGAGGTTCAAGCACAAAATAAAGAATACTGCCCAAAGAAGCAATGTTTGGAGGATGTTGAATATGCTTCCTGACCCCTGGAAGTCACTTTCACTCAGTAGCAACAACTTTTGAGAATCTGTGGATCCAAAAAGCAACTGATAACGCTTAATACAATGTTCATTTAGAGCTATAAAGTCTGCTTTGAAATGGACCTTGCTGTGTTCTACCACATTCGACTCTTGCTCTTTGACTAGAGTTTTTGTTAAGCATGCTCTGAATGAAGAGACCACCTAAAAAGGCTTTGTGTGAGCAACAAGGCTGTTTATTCACTCGGCTTCGAGTGGGCTGAGTCTGAAAAGAGAGTCAGCATAAGGTGGTGGGATAGGAGCTGGTTTTGTAGGTTGTGGTAGGTAATGGAAAGTTACAGTTTAGGGCTGTTTTTTGCAAGCCAAGATGGGGGTGGTCACAGGGTCCAATGTCACAAGTTGACTTAACAGTTGAGGCAGGAACAATGTTAGAATGTCGCAAGGTCAGTTAATTAGGCACTGCAGGAACTAGCTATTCTCCTTTTGCGGTTTTTCTGTTACCTTAGACTTTCTGGCTCTGGGAGGCCATCTGGAGGTGTACATGTGGGTCACAGGGGTCACCATGGCTTGACTGGCATAGTCCATGGTGCGGTCAGTTCAAACAGCCTTGCAGTTTTCATTATCTATTGTTCTTAGTGTCTTTGATTGTAAGGAATCAAATTTACAGGGAGAAAAACTTCTAGATCTAGTTAAAAGTTATATATACACATGGTGAAATCTGTAATGACTTCTATGAATGCTAGTATTTCTGAATGTATTTTTTCACAGTGAACGCAGTTAATCACACACAATAACAGAGTTTTTTCTTATCACCCACCTACCCCTATGCCACAGGTACAAGGCAAAAGAATACTATGAGGCACTTCCAGAGCTGAAGCTGGTCATCGATCAAATTGACAATGGCTTTTTTTCTCCTAAGCAGCCTGACCTCTTCAAAGACATCATCAACATGCTATTTTATCATGACAGGTACGTTCCCACAAGAAGGTGGTGCTATTTGGATCATGAAAGGGGGACAAGAAAATCTTAAACCAACCAACTCTAAAACCATCAAGAAAATCTTAAACCAACTTCAACCCACTCATATAGATTAGCGTGGATGTGTGATCTGCTCAGGTAATCTAGGGTTGGGAAAAAAGTTAGATATTCTCCACCAACGATGCCAGTAAGCTTTAAGAATAATACACACAAATCTGGTTCTCTTTTTCTCCTTCCACTGATATTCCCAACTTCCAAATGTATCCAAGTGATGACATTCTCCATGTGAGAAGAACCATAAGAAGGTTGAGGGCTGGTTAAAATTCTTACAAACCCAGAAACATGAGTTAAGTAAACTAGCCATGCCTAATATTAAGCAAAAGATTATTTTACATGGAATCTTAGCATGTATCTGTTAATGAAGCTTTTGACTGTTTTTTTTTTTCCCTTCCAATCACAAAATAAAAGGTTTAAAGTCTTCGCAGACTATGAAGCCTATGTCAAGTGTCAGGATAAAGTCAGCCAGCTGTACATGGTGAGTAAATGGCCAAGATTGATAAAGAAAGCCAGTTTGCTATGATTAATTAAAATGTGTGGGTTTTTAAAAATTAAATCTAAATAGCAGATCCCCATTAAGCAATCAAGAAAAAAAAAAAAAAACCTTGACTTTTCCCAAGTTCAGGCCAAGTCTGAGATTTGACATTTCAGCAGCAGTTGTAATTTTTTTTTTTTTTTTTTTTGAGGCAGATCTTGCTGTGTCACCAGGCTGGAGTGCAGTGGTGCCATCTCGGCTCATTGCAACCTCCACCCCCTGGGTTCAAGTAATTCTCCTGTCTCAGCCTCCCAAGTAGCTGGAATCACAGGCACGTGCCACCACACCCAGCTAATTTTTGTATTTTTAGTAGAGATGGGGTTTCACCATGTTACCCCGGCTGGTCTCGAACTCCTGACTTCAGGTGATCATCCCGCCTCTGCTTCCCAAAGTGCTGGGGTTACAGGCGTGAGCCACCATACCTGGCCATTTGTAAATTTTTTAATATCCACATTTTTTAAAAGTCACAAGTAATTCAATATTTATTGAGCATCCACTCTGTAATAGGCATGCCCTAGAAGCTAAGGAAATAAAGCCTCAGAGGGGTATTGGGCATCCTTTTTATGCCAGGCACTGTGCTGGCACTGAGAACACACCATGAGCAAAGTTGAGGTCTCTCCCTCCCTCTCCTCCCACAAGGAGCCTGTTTAAACACTGAAGTTCTTAACCAGAGGTACACATTAGAATCACCATGGTAGCTTCATCAATAGTACAGATGCTAGCCCTGCACTGAGAGATCCTTTCCCACTAGAGGGTAGGGTAACCAACAGTATTTGAAAAACCTGACATGATGACTCTAAGGCTAAACCATGGTTTGTTAAGATAAGGACTGATCCCTATTCTTTGAAAATTGCAAAATAATACCTCTCCTGGACTTCTCATGGAGGGGGCTATATCAGTAGAATATAAATGTGTAGAAAGAGTAAGGGGTTCATATTTGAATTTTTTAAAAAAGAAAGGAGAAGAATTAGGAAGAAAATACTATACTGAGGGGAAAAAAGGGGTAGGGAGAGCCATGTGAATAAGCCTCCACATGCAAATTTATATGCTTTATCAAACACCTCTCTAGTTATATTTTGTAAATATGTAAAAAGCTTGATCATCTCTGATAGGAGAGACTTTCAGTGACTTTCAGATACCCCAGAGGAATGGATACAGGAGGAGGCTAGCTCTCCGCCAAGACTCCAGGGTGGGTTTCACTAACATTTCTTTCTATTTCTTTCCCAAGGCAGATAACAGGGTAGTTCCTACAGTCACCCTAAATGTCCCATTGGGATTTTAAAAAGGTCCATTCAAGGCCTGTGCTGCTTTACAGCCCTTATCTTAATAGAATAATAGCCAGTCCCCCAATGGCATATAGAACAGAATAAGTGCAAGTTAATGGCTACAAACAAGCAGGGCAGTGCTAAAGCTAAGCTCAGGCGCTCACTACCTGCTTCCTGTACATTAGAGAGAAAAGCCATATATATACTGGTCCCAAAAACACAAAGACACAGGGAAGAACATGGCCACCTCAAGATATATCAATAAAACAGCACAGGAAAGAAAACTATGAACAAGGGCAAGGACAAATGTGAATGTCTCATCTGTTGAAATTATGGCCCAAATCCAAAGGATGCTCATCCAGAATCCCAGCATTTGCTTCAGTCTTTCTTGTTCATTAGTGCAAATTGCAGCTTTTTACTCTTAACAATAATTGTATTGTTGAGACTTAGTAAACATGACCCATATGGCTGGGAAGTTTGTTCATTATCCATTTAAATAGTTAAAGAAAATGAAGAGAAAAAGCTTTTATCCTCTTTTTTTTTTTGAGACAGAGTCTCACTCTTTCACCCAGGCTGGAGTGCAGTGGTGCCATCTCAGCTCACTGCAACCTCTGCCTCCTGGGCTCAAGCAATTCTTCTCCCTCAGCCTCCTGAGTAGCTGGGACTACAGATGCATGCCACCACATCCGGCTTATTTTTTGTATTTTTAGTAGAGGTGTATTTTTAATAGGGTTTCACCATATTAGCCAGAATGTTCTTGATCTCCTGACCTCGTGATCTGCCCGTAGTGACCTCCCAAGGTGCTGGGATTACAGGAGTGAGCCACTGTGCCCGGCCTATTCTCCTCTTATTACAGGAAGTTTCCAAAGTCTGAATAAACAAATCTCAGACACTGTTTTCCTGTACCTTAAGGAATGATGGTATCTTCAGTCTTTCTTGTAAGCATTTATGATGCATTGGTAACACTTTTGAATACGTTCTGTTCATTCCAATATACGTTTCGAGTTCTTGACAAAATTAAGAGGTTATAAAACAAATTGCTTCCTATCACATTCTTTTATATAAAAGTTAGGAGATTGATTTATTTTTATTAAGGATAAAGCCTTAATTGACTCTGTTTTGAAGCCCCAGTGGAGTGTTTGGGAGTCAGTGTAAACCCAGCAGGGTGCATACCTTCAGAAAGAACAAGAAAAGCTAAGAAACTTAATAAAGCCCCTCATTGAATTGTTTGCCTGCATTATAGCTAAATTTTAGAGTAGTGTTTTTCAAACTCTGTAAGCCACAGGGTAAGTCGTTTGACTTGGCATTTAGCAGACAATGAATTCCTTCCCTATAGTTTAAGGGGAAGTATCTTCATTCATAAGAAAGCATGGGAAATATGGCTTACATGTCAAGACATTCTAACCATAGCAGGAATTACCAACTAGACAATGTACATCCAGGGTTTCTCTTAGAGTGAAAAATACTCTTTTTCATTCCTAAGAGAAATACATTCTATGAGAAATGTGCGTTCTATTCTACCTCTCAACAAACAAGAATATTTATAATTCACTATAATTCATTCCTGTCATTTTCCCTCCTGAAATGTGTTTGGATGTGCTTGGCTGATGTTTGTTATAAAGCTCACTGGGCACTGGGACCCTGGCTGTATGTGCATATGTTGTTTACAGAATCCAAAGGCCTGGAACACAATGGTTCTCAAAAACATAGCTGCCTCTGGGAAATTCTCCAGTGACCGAACAATTAAAGAATATGCCCGGGACATCTGGAACGTGGAACCTTCGGATCTGAAGATTTCTCTATCCAATGAATCTAACAAAGTCAATGGAAATTGAATTCTAAAATATCTCTCGGAAGCATAGCTTCTTACTGAACTTGAACATTTTTATAACATTCAATGGTTTTGTTTTGTTAGCTAAAAATCTATAATAGTTGAGTATTCTCTGGGAATGGGAACGGAAAGTATATATAATAGACCTTAAAAATAAAGTATCAATTTCCAAGGGCTACATGAGTTCCAAAACTTATTTTATAGCAAATCTAGTGATGCTATTGCTACTGGTAGGATTTACCCTCAAAACAAATCATAAAATTAGAAAACTGCTTAGAACTTTTAAATGCCATTTAAATGAACTAAAATACAAAAAAAGTTAACTACCTGGGAGCAACTTTCTTACACTGCCATCTGAGTCCAAACCAAGGACCAGTCTTAGTCCCGGTGGGCCACTAAAACAAAATGGCATAAACTGGGTAGCTGATAAACAACAGAAATTTATTTCTCACAGTTGTGGGGGCTGGGAAGTCCAAGAGCAAGGCACTGGCTGGATTCAGTGTCTGATGAAGGCTTCTTTGTGCTTCATAGATGAAGCCTTCTCACTATATCTTCAAATGGTAGGAGGGGTGAAGAGCTCTTTTGGTCATAATTTATTAGGGCACTAATCTCATTCATGAGAGCTCAGCCCCACCTCCTATAACCATCACATTGGCCGTTGGTTAGGTTTCAACATAATTTGGTGGGCAGGCCCAGATATTCGGACCATAGCAACTACCTTATTCACAAATATCCCTAGGATGTTTGATAACTACATATTTTTAGATAGGATGTAAATTTTACCAAATTGTGAAAAATGTTTTACAAAGTAGATTATAAGCTAAACAAGAACATTCCATACTGCCTAACATGTATGTTTTCTGTTGTTAAAATGGCAAGTGATTTGCAGAGAAGTCAATGGCTTCGGCTCATCTGACTAGCCCAGTACAATTTTATATTAAAAAATGTACATCACAGGTGGTGTTTAGACGAGGTCTTCATTGAAGATTTCCACTCCTCCAAGACTTCATGACCACTGCTTGCTCAGGAAATCTCTGTAGAAAAAGGACCTGGATCAGCTCACACACTTTCCCTACCTGAGTAAGCAAAATATTACACATTTTCGTGTTGCTAAGGAAGCCAGAGCAGCCCTAATTGCCTTGAAGGGCAAGATACATTTAGCAAAGCAACTCTTACCTTACGGCTATTAATAGTGTAGGGCTTTTACAAAGCAGGTTGTGTTGGAAGCCTGGAGGAAAGATAACCATCTTGACCCTCTCTTTGTTCCTGTATGCTTTATGTGCAATTTCATAGAGCTGCAAGAAACAGAAAGACAGAGACTCGAGGGCTGGCCATTCAAAGCTGTGAATTTTCTAGTCCAATTTCCCTAAAAGCTAACATGGGGAGTTCGTTCCATTAAGTCAAAGACGTGAGAACTCTCCATGTCCACAACTGGCTGTCTCTACAGCTAACGATCTAAATGCTGTTCAGCTAATATAGAATACTGATAAAACCTCATCCTTCCCTGCTTGAACCTCGCTGCAAAATGACAAGGAACTGCTATGGACCCACTCTAGTAGAAGTTTATTTGAAAGGAAAATGTCTGCATCTTCTATTTTAGACACAGAGGTTCCCACAGCAGCCTGGGATACCCCACACTTGCAGCGCCACACAACCCAGATGAGGAGCCAGGCTCTGCCACAAACACTCCTTTGAGCTAAGTAGCCAAGACACTGATGCTCATTATATAAACCTGTAAAGCCTATTTAGGGGTGTAGTGAATCTCCTGTAACATCAGAGACCCTCCTTTAGGCTCTAATCAAAGTTTGGCTGAATGAAAAATAAAATGGTGAAATAAGTAAAGTATGTTTCAGTCAGCATTGAGCTCTTCGTTTACCTTTTTTCCATACTCCAAAGGCACTGTCCTGTCATCCTCTCCATGTAAGATGAGAAGGGGAGAAGAAAGGAATTTAACACTAGGGACAAGTAGAAGAAAAGCATTCAGTTAAAGAATTTTACATTGTGATTTCTCCTCTTCTACATTAAAGCTTTAGCAAAACATGAGGTCTGTCTAAATTACAAGAAATTTCTTTCCTTCCTTCCAAGGCATAACAATGCCATACATTTAAAAAGTTCACTTAGTAGCTTTTTTTCTCCATGTAAGTTTCCCTCCCTCCCATTTACTCGTGCAATTTAATTGACTGTTTAATTTACTTTGTGTGATTTTTTGGAAATACTAAAAGAAAAAAACACCAAAACACTGATTTTGTACAATGTTAGAAGAACCTTATATTCTTCTTTATTCCACTTTATTTTGTAACATCTGAAATATTTTATTTAGACTAGAAAAGAAAACAAAACTCAAAACCTCAGTAAAACAAAAACTACGACAGAATCGGAGACCTCTTTATAGAAATTTGTTTACTTTTCCCCTTAAATGTAGAAGATGGACACTCAGTGAACAGGTGTGATTAGCTTCCTGGTCAGTCCTCTAGTTTGTTAATTCAAAAGGGCTATGACATGAAGAATGTCATGTCTCCCACTCCAATTACTTTCTCAATGTTTCCCTGTCCCCCCCCAAAATTCTGATACCCATCCATCAGTGGGTATCAGTGACTCACTGACACCTCTGAGAATGTTAGATTTTCTCAAGTGTGTTGATATAGAAAAAAGTATTTACAACAACTGCATATTTGGAAACATTCTTAAATTCTCTAACTGTGACAGGGTAACTAGATAAATTCTAGTCATTGGATTTGCTGTCACGTTAGTAAGTTGGATGGTAGCTAGACCCTAGAGGACCTTTAAAAGGTCTTTTTTTTTTTAACAGGACGTCACTCTGTCGCACAGGCTGGACTGCAATGGCACAATCACAACTGACTGCAACCCCAACCTCCGAGGCTCAAGTGATCCTCCCACTTCAGCCCTACCTGTAGTTGGGATGACAGGCAAGTTCCCCCATGCCTAGCTAACTTTTAAATTTTTTGGTAGGGATGGTGTCTCCCTGTGTTGCCCAAGCTGGTTCCAAACTTCTGAGCTCAAGCTATCCTCTCACCTCAGCCTCCCAAAATGCTGGATTATAGGTACACGCTGTCGTTCCCCGCCCTTTAAAACGTCTTGATAGGCCATAAATATACAACTTCCTTTATGAATTCAGAGAGAGAGTACTGAGTTGATGAAGTCATTGCATTAGATATGAAGAAAACAGCAAATACTAAAAATTCATAAATACTTTACCCGAATCTTAGTGCCCATCTAAGAACCACAGAACCATATTCTAAGAATAAGAATGACACTCCGAGGTCTAATGTTACCATCAAGTAAGTCACGATAGTTTCCCCTAAAATCCTTTAGATATGGTAATAATGCACATCTTTTCATCATTTACTTACTTTTCATCATTAGGAAAGACTATTTTGTCTTTTCTCAGGGCATCCATAAGTGTACGTAAAAATCCTGGAATATTCCGGTAAATCTATTTTAAAAAAAAGAATTAATATTTGCCCCATAGCTGTGTCATTTGTTACATAGTCTTTCATTACAAACCAGGGTAACAAAGAGAGTAGTGACTCTCTAAATATGATAAACTTAACAAAGAACTTTTAGGATTTAGAAAGTAATGCATGTCGGGAATTTGGTAAAAAAGGAAGGAATGTGGAAGAAACAAGGCACTCATAATCCTGCCATCATAGATCATCACTGTTAACATTTTGCTTTTACTTCCTTTAAAAAAAATACAAATGGTACCACTAACTCTTACTTCTCCATATAGAAGCAGTGATATGCAAAACCTAAAAATTGCTTCTACTGTGAACATAACTGGTTTAGTTGGCAGACAGAATATACTGATTAGTCAAAAATTCTGATGAAAATTTGCAAAACATAGAAAATTGATCTTAGAGATTTTGAACATTATACATTTTTTAATATGATTTAATATGCCAATGCCTTAAAAGACATTTTAGATTTTAACAATGACCTCAGGACTCCAGATACAACAACACTCATTCGAGACATACTAAATTTGTTGCTTAATAGCAAATCCTAAGAAATAGAATGCTAGCTAAATCCACTTTTACAATGTTTTGACTCACATAGTCAACATTTAAGTTAGTGTATAGGCTCTAGAAATATCCATTCCAACTGAAAATAAGGAGTCAAGGACGGAAACCCTGAGCAATATTGCACCTTTCTCACAAACTTTGAACCCTTCCTCCAAAATGTATCCCAAATCCATTCATTTCTCCCCATCCCCACTATCACAGCCTATGCCACCTTTCATCTCTTGCTTATACCAAGCCGCAATCCCAAGTGGCTCCCTGCTTCCCCCTCACACTTCCATAATCCAGTTCCCACAGGAAAGCCTGAATGATTGCTTTCATGTGCAAATCAGGTCATAACACTCTGGTTCAACACTCTCCAAAGGCAACTGGATTAAACCCAAACATGTCACCTGGGCCTCCAAGGCCGTGTGCAATCTGGCGGCTGCCTGCCTCCCTCCCCAGCCTCATCTCCTATCACTGAGCCCCTTCCTGTCCACCTCCTGGCTCTGCTGCCTTCTGCCCCTGGAACATGTCAGGCCTGATCCCAGCCCAAGGCCCTTGTCTTTGCTTTTATCCCAGCCTGAGATCTCTAGATTTTCCCATCATCTGGTTTTATCTCAGGCACGTCTCAGCTCAGATGCTATTTCTTCAGAGCTGTTTTCCATAACCAGCTATCAAACCTTGCCCCCACCTCCCCGGTCATTCTCCATCACATTATTTTAGTGCTTTCACAGCACTTCTCACTACTGGATTTTTTTTATTATGTTTTTATCCTCTATATGTTTCTCCATCAACTTCACAGACAAATAGACTGCAACTTTCTTATTATTATTATTCCCTGTGGTATCCTCAGAAACTAGAAAGGTTCTTTGATAAATATTTGCTAAAGACAAAATGAGTTGATTACGCAAATATTCCTGGTGTACACTTTGTTATGGTCTATCATTTTCATCTTAGCATGACTGAATTTCAGATATTATTTGTTTGTTTATTTTGAGATGGGGTCTCACTCTGTTGCCTACACTGGAGTGAGTGCAGTGGCTTGATCCTGACTCACTGCAGCCCTTGAACTCCTGGGCTCAAGCGATCCTCCCACCTCAGCCTCCATAGTAGCTGGGACTATAGGTGTTACCACTACACCTGGCTAACTTTTTTAATTTTTTTCTAGTTTCACCATGTTGCCTAAGACTGGTCTTGAACACCGTGGTGGGTGGATCACGAGGTCAGGAGATTGAGACCATCCTGGCCATCATGGTGAAACCCCGTCTCTACTAAAATACAAAAAATTAGCTGGGTGTGGTGATGCGCACCTATAGTCCCAGCTACTCAGGAGGCTGAGGCAGGGGAATCGCTTGAACCCAAGTGGTGGAGGATGCAGTGAGCCGAGATCATGACACTACGCTCCATACTGGCGACAGAGTAAGACTCCATCTCAAAAAAAAAAGTGAAAAGTCAAAACAAAATCATAGAATATATGTGCAATACAAATAATTGTCTAATGACTCACATCCAGCATCAACAAATAAAAAGTCATATAGGCTGGGCGTGATGGCTCATGCCTGTAATTCCAGTGCTTTGGGAGGCTGAGGCGGGTAAATCTCAAAGTCAAGAGACTGAAACCATCCTGGTCAACATGGTGAAACCCTGTCTCTACTAAAGATACAAAAATTAGCTGGGCATGGTGGTGTGCACCTGTAGTCCCAGCTACTCAGGAAGTTGAGGCAGGATAATTGCTTGAACCTGGGAGATGGAGGTTGCAGTAAGTCAAGATTGCACCACTGCACTCCAGCCTGGTGACAGAGCAAGACTCTCTCAAAAAAAAAAAAAAAGTAATACAATCCACCTAAAAAATGGGCAAAAGACATGAACAAGAAGTATCTCACAAGAGATGATATCCAAATGGCTAATAAACATGTTAAAAGTTACCCAACCTCACTGGTTATCAGGGAAATGCAAATTAAAACCATATTGATATATCAATATAAGGGCAAGGATTTTAAGCAACTGGAGCTCTCATACACAATTGGTGAGAGAGTAAAGTAGTAAAGTCATTTAGGAAAAATTGCATTGTAATTATTAAAGCTGGCCATATGGATATCTTATTACTCCACAATTCCACTCCAAAGGTATACCCCAGTGAAATTCTTGTACATGTTTACAGAATTCGGGTTCAAGAACATTCATAACAACAATATTATTAATTTCCCTAAACTGAAAGTAATACAAATGTAATAATGCAAAATAGATCAATAAATTGTGGTATGTACATAAAATGGAATAGTATATAGCAATGAAAATAACTAACCTACAGCTATACTCTACACATGATGAATAAAATCCCAGAAATATAACGTTGGGTGAAAAAATATCCCATATAATTTTGCTTTTATATAAAGTTCACAGACAAAACAATATTGCTTAGAGATGCATATACAGATGGTAACACTATAAAGAAATGCATAGATATGATTATCATAAAATTAATCTAAGAATTACATCTAAGGGCCAAGGTGTATGTCTAAAATAAGGCTTACTGGATTGGGAAGTAACATACAGACTTCTGGAGTGTGGGTGATGCTAATTTCTTGACATAGGTGATAGTTACCTGGGTGTTCAGTTTATAATTGCTCATTAAATCATGTATTTTTCTTATTTTGCTAAATTTCAACATTAACACATTTTTTAAAAAACAAACTAAATAAAAAGATTGCATCTGACTTACGTTACATACCTACAATTGAATGAATTTATTAGTAATGACTTAGAGTAATATGATAGATATGCAATTAATGGTTATATTATATTAAAATAAATATTAAATTTCTAGAACCAATTGAAAATGTCTTATTTATCATATCTTAAACTACCAGCATTCAGTATTTTACATTGTAGAGAGGATTTCTATATTTAGTTGAAGCTTAGATAGTAAAGCCATTTTCAGGAGAATGTGGTTATGTGAACTGGCTGTCCTAGGAAGTGATGAGCTACTTTTTCCTGAAAATAGAAGTTCCAGAAATTCCATCTATGATGGAATTCTATCTATAATGGTTTATGGTACAAAAGATTCCTAAAATTGACAGAGTAACATACTCCAGGATATCTTACAGTATGAAACAACAATTCAGAATAATTTTAAAATTGAGGTCATGTATCCCTCTAAGGTGCTCACTCTCTATATATATATATCTCTCCTTCTCCCCACCTCTCATTTGCTAACATTTACACGAATGTACAACTATAAATAATTGAGCATTAGGCACAGAATAAGAGTATAAAGTTAGGATAGTCTACACAATAGATATTTTTAAACTGCATCTTGTGACACAATTCTTTGTACTTAGTTTTCTTAGAAAATTTGTCTTCTTTATCTGGGATACTATGTAAGATAAGATTCTTTGTACTTAGTTTTCTTAGAAAATTTGTCTTCTTTATCTGGGATACTGTGTAAAAGTATTTGGCAGCTTCCTTAAATTCTCTAGAAACTTTCTTATGATAAAGATACAAAAGATGTATGGCTGACATTCATAGGGCTCAAAAATGATGTATAAAATGTTTGTTTTCACTTTAAAATTAAAATAAATAATAAACTTAAGGCAACTCTACCACAAAATTATAAAAGAGGTATTATTAGAAGAAAATAAACGAAATATCAAATCCAAAAGCCATAGGTTCCCTTTTATGGTAACTGGTTAATAAACTGTCTCAGATTAGAATAACTGCAAAACATAAAACTACTTAAGAAAAGGAAAACAGTTAATAAACTTACATGTGTAGAAATAGCCTACACTGTATCAAAATAGCCTACTTTGATACCTTGTGAAGATGAATCAGAGTCTCACCTTTAACAAGGGATAATTGATACTTGCAACCCACATGTTGGTAAATGGAGCTTCCAAGACAATAGCATCAACTGGGCATCCTTGAAAATTAAAGAAGGAAAGAAAGAAATCAGTAATCCCCCTCTTCAAATACCATCTTTCCTAGATAAGGGGTCTTCAAGATCTTGTACTTGAACTACCTGCATCAAAATTAGTTGTGAAGGTTATTAATAATGCAAGTTACTGAACCCCACTTCATGTTTATGAGTCAGATTCCCCAGGGTGGGGGCTGAGAATGTTTATTTTAACATGCTTCTACCTTCCCCTCCCTCCCCAAGAGATTTCTGTGTACATGATAATAGCTGAAAACCACTACCTTCAGGCCTGGCGCGGTGGCTCAAGCCTGTAATCCCAGCACTTTGGGAGGCCGAGGTGGGTGGATCATGAGGTCGAGAGATCAAGACCATCCTGGTCAACATGGTGAAACCCCATCTCTACTAAAAATACAAAAAATTAGCTGGGTATGGTGGCATGTGCCTGTAATCCCAGCTACTCAGGAGGCTGAGGCAGGAGAATTGCCTGAACCCAGGAGGTGGAGGTTGCAGAGAGCCAAGATCTCTACATTGCACTCCAGACTGGGTAACAAGAGCGAAACTCTGTCTCAAAAAAAAAAAAAAAAGAAAACCACTACCTTCTTCTAAGAACACAACCAGCTCTTCTCAGCTTGAATAACTTAAGAAAGCGGAGTACTACAGGAAGACAGTGTTCTGCAGCACATTGCTAAGAATGTGTCAGAGATTGACTAGGTTGTTTAGCTCAACGCTCCCTCTGAGAACAATTGGAAAAGGTGTGGTGGGTCACCGTATATGTATACACATATGTTTGAATGGATATGAGGGCTACTGGTCAGTGAGAAATTACAGAAGCAATAATGAAAGAAAGAAGTCCAGAGAGTTTGAGCTGCCTTTTCCCTCAACGCAGTTGAAAGCAATAGTGGTGGCTGAGAGGATCAGAAATGAGACAAAACTTTCAGCATCTCACAAAATCCAAACGACCAAAATTAGAGTTCAGGATCTCACAAGAAAAAGGACCCTAGTACATTTCTCAGGCTTTTGGTTGTGCCCTCAGAGAACTACACCTAGGAGTAATAGGAACTGGGAATACACCAGCCATCATAACAACTGAAGGCCAGCTTCAGATCAGCTCAATCTCTAATTGAACTAAGGTAATCTGTCCCTACCGTAACTGACTTTCAGGAGAAGAGTAAATTATAGCTGGAAGAAGATAATATCACTTCAAGTTTCAAATAATTTCTATGATTTTTCATAAACTATGTGTAGCCCATAATCAAAAATAACTCGAAATACAATGATAAGCAAAACACACGCACACACACAAGCAGATAATTGACTGGAATTTTTTAATTGTATGGCATTAGGGTAATGAATATTTACATTTATATAGCATCTCTATACATGGAGTAAACTCTAATTTTGATTTTTGAAAAATTACCCTGTTCACAGAAGTTCTAACTCTTCAAATCAGCTAGGATCGAAGATTCTGATACAAACAGTTCTCAGATCACTTTGAGAAACACTGACATATATATGACTAAGAAGGGCTGCAAAGAGCCAATTCTGCATATCATTTAATAATGCAGCATTTTTGTCCTGTAATTTAAATGAATATTATATCACAAAGAAGATTCTTTCAAAGGTATTTATTTTTAACTGCAGAACCTAAAACCAGTTATTATTTTATATTAAACAGAGATAAAAAAGAAAGCCTGTTTGCACTGCCAGAAACCATCTAAAGTGGGGATGCTTTAGGTGTCAGCTATGTTCATAGTCTCTTGACAGTTTTCACTTTCCCATCTCAAGCCAAGAGATGGGAAATTATACCACCTAAGCATAATATATTACCTTTTTCTTCTAACACTTTTGCAGCATTCGTTGCAACTCTGTAAAGCAATGAAAATTAGTACATACGTGAAGCAATAACTTAACAGTATAAAACACAACTTCTGGTATGAGCATCTGATAAAAGCTCTGGGCTCTCTGGTTAGAAAAATGCATAAAGACAGGACATTTGCACACTATTTCAGAGGGTTCCACAGGCCCTAAATTAAAGATCTTTTTCTCTCTTTCTTTCTTTCGTTCTTTCTTTTTTTGTTGTTTTTGTTTTTGTTGTTGTTGTTGTTGTTGTTGTTGTTGTTGTTGTTGTTTGAGACAGAGTCTCTCTCGGTCACCCAGGCTGGAGTGCACTGGCACAATCTCGGCTCAATGCAACCTCTGCCTCCCCGGGCTCAAGTGATTCTCCTGCCTTAGCTTCCTGAGTAGCTGGGATTACAGGCATGTGCCACCAAGCCCAGCTAATTTTTGGTATTTTTAGTAGAGATGGGGTTTTGCCATGTTGGCCAGGCTGGTCTTGAACCCCTGGCCTCAAGTGATCTACCCACCTCAGCCTCCGAAAGGGCTAGAATTACAAGTGTGAGCCACCCCACTGGGCCAAGGATCCTTTTCTTTAAAACCCTCAGAAAGACTTGGACTTCAGTGTAAAAGATAACCATAAAGCTGAAGGGACCCTCTGTTGTTTTACAGACAGCATACTAAGATGACAAGGTCTTCTGGAGTGTGAAAGCGATCAGCAAAGGGTCCCTGTCTCCTGGGTCAGTGCTCCTTCCACTACTGGCTGCTGCCTTTGATAGGACACTAAAGCCTCAAGGACCTGCCTACAGACACATCTGCAGAACTCACTTACCCTGTACCCAGGGAGTGGCCCCAGAGACACACAGGAGTGATGCCACTTCTTGTCTTGGTCCACTCATAGACACAAATAGCATCCACAGTCAGACCCTCCTCTGTGGGCTTACCCGTAGAGTCCCCGAATCCTGGTAGCAAGAAAAGGCAAACAGTGTCACTGCCTTCAAAATGAGGGGTCATCAGAGGCCCTCTGCTTGTTGAAAAATCTCTGTACGCCATCCTTAACACATACCTCTGTAGTCAACAGACAAGACATGAAAGCCACCATCACTCAGCACCTAGGTAACAAAGGAGCTGTTATCACTTTAATTAGAAGATGTAAACAGAAAAGACTTCTCATCCCTATAGCCATTCATATCACATCACAAGGAGGTCTATTTCAAAGGTAATTTTAACTTGTTCATTAGTATTTATTTTTAACTGTAGAACCTAGAAAAATAGCTACTATTTTATATTAAATGAAGTTAAAAAAGAAAGTTTGTTGCACTGTCAGAAACTCTCTAAAGTTAGGGTGCTCTAGGTATCTGTATGTTCAAAGCATACACACTCGTTTAATAGCTGGGGAAAGATGTATTTTTGAAATCTAGTGTTTGACTTCCGACTTGCAAAGTCAAGGCTCAGTGGGAGAGATGGAAAGCAGGAGGCTGAGCAGGGTCACATAGCCGGGGTGTCACGCTGGCTCTGGCACTTGCCTGCTATGTGACCTTGGCCAAGTTATTTAACATTTACATATGTAAATATTATTCTGAAAAGTGAGAAACAATAATAGTCACTTTTAGGTCTATGAATGTCTTCTTTAAAAAATTTCTTGAGAATAAGAACTCTAAGCAAGTTGTAGAGGCAATCAAAAAGGGGAAGCTATTTATATTAAATATGAATAAAGAGTTAATTTCAATCAATAATAGGGAGATCACTCTAATATATGAGACCCCTGCCAAGCTTCTAGTAGGTAAAGAAAGACTATGAAAACATAATTTTACATGAAATGAAATACAATGATTGTTGTATTTCATGTAGAATTACATGTGCCTGTGATCCTAGCTACTCAGGAGGCTGAGGCAGGAGAATCACTTGAACCTAGGAGGCCAAGATTGCAGTAAGCAACCAAGATCACACCACTGCAGTCCAGTCTGGGTGACAGAGACTCTGTCTCAGAAAAAAATACAATGATAAAGAAAAGAGAGATTAAAAAGGACAGAATTTTACTGTACAGACACTTGTCAAACTTTATTTAATTCTCAAAACTGTACTGTACAGTAGATATTATCCCCGTTTTACAGATAAACTGAGCCTTGCAGAGTTTAAGTAACGTATTTAAGATTGCCCAACTAGCTACAACTAGAACCAAGATTCACTCCTGGGTCTGCCTCTGTCCAAATACTGTGCTTCTCCCACTGCATTTTAGACATGGGTGGCAAAACCTCATTAGGAACTTGTAAATACAAATTGGACTAATGATGAAGAACTAAATATAACTTTTAAATATCTGTTACATTGCCTGGACAACATGCCCCAGGGGAAAAAAAAATCTGTTACATTCCCCCCAAATAAGTTAGCCAAGACACATGGCGGCTAAGCATCCAGGAAAATGGGAATATCCATGTGAGTTGCAGCATGTGTTGAAGGACCGCCTAGCAATACAACCCAAGAACAATAGCAATGGCCGGGCATGGTGGCTCACACCTGTAATCCCAGCACTTTGGGAGGCCAAGGCGGGCAGATCACGAGGTCAAGAGATTGAGACTATCCTGGTCAACAGGATAGTCTCTACTAAAAAATACAAAAATTAGCTGGGCGTGGTGGTGCACGCCTGTAGTCCCAGCTACTTGGGAGGCTGAGGCAGGAGAATTGCTCGAATCCAGGAGGCGGAGGTTGCAGTGAGCCGAGATAGTGTCACTTCACTCCAGCCTGCTACCTGGTGACAGAGCAAGACTCTGTCTCAAAAAAAAAAAAAAAAAAAAAAGAATAACAGCAACAAATCCTACTCCTAAGAATTCCTCTCTAGGAAAAAAAGATGTGAAAGAAAAAAAATCAAGATGCTTATAGTTTTCTGAAACAATACTATTTAAAACAAAGGCAGGGAGAAAAAAAATCTTATATCCTACAGCAGTGGAACAGTTAAGTAGACAATTGCTTATAAATACAATGGAGAATGATACAGCTTTAAACTGGTTAATTATGACGACTGAGAACATGGAAGAATGTCTGTAAAATAGTGTTAAGTAAAAGAGCACAACATAAAATTACATAGAGATACAATCATAGTAACAAAAGCTTTTTATAAGGAGAAATTAAAACTAGGTGGGAATGCAAATCAATGAAAATAGCTGTACTAGTCTGTTGCAGTGATGAATACATGAATGAATGAAAATTTAATAATGAAAATTTATTTTTTAAAAGAAATCACCTATTCAGAGGAGGAAATGAAGGGCTAAGAAATTTGGTCCTGTTGGGCAATGATGACAGCAGCACTTGACACTTGACGCCCACAGTCTGCCTGGGGGCAAAGCCCTGCCATACCAGATGCTCTCCTTCCCCACCCATCCTAACTACCACAAGGATCACCTGGCTGCACTTCACACCTACAGCTCTTCTTTCTGGGAACATTGAGACAGCTCTGAGTGGGAGGGGAAAAGCACGCACATTCTCATGGACATCAGCTTCACTGTTTCACATGGGGAATGCAAAGGGCAGGGTGTAGAGGGAAAAGCAAACCTAAAAATGAATAAACACGGTCCTCCCGGGCAACACTACACAGAGCTACCCCACTCCCCAACCCCACTCGCCCAGCCACCACTCCACAGGCATTGGCTCTGAGAAGGCAGTGATGAAGGGATGAGGGGAGGGGACAGTAGAGGAGCTTCCTGTCTGCACAAGGGAGGGAGGATGAAGAAAGCACTGGAGATACTGGTACTGCAAGGATTCTGGGGCAGTCATATTGTTTGATCAGAAAAGAACTATGAGGTGGGAGCCAGCAGGTGGGGGAGAGACCAAGTCCTCATGGTCAACAGCCAGCAACCTGCAGCAGAGATTACCTAAGCAGAGGGTGGAAGAGGATAAAGAAGCAGCTTGCTCAACCATTTCTGAGGCAGATAGGGCTAAGTGGAAACCCTGCCATCTTCTGCACACCTAGAAATACAGGGGCTGTCCCAGTAAACCAGAGTCATGCAGCAGGGAGTGACGAGAGCAAGTGTGGGCACATGCTACTCCACAAAGCCTTACATGGGGCTGAAGCCAGGGTTTCAAAGACTTTTTTTTAAGTCAGGGTCTTCTCACTCTGTCCTTCAGGCTGCAGTGTGGTGGCACAATCCCAGCTCATTGAAGCCTCAAACTTCCAGACTCAAACAATCCTCTTGCCTCAGCCTCCTGAGTAGCTGGAACTGCGGGCATGTACCACCATATCCAGCTAATTTTTTAATTTTTTTGTAAAGACAGGGTCTCATTACATTGAGACCCTGGTCTCAGTCTCCCAAAGCATTCGCATTACAGGCATGAGCCCCTGCACCCAGACTTTTACAAGCAGATAGTCTGTGTCTTTAACCTATAACCACTAGAAACGAAAAAGGTTGCTTCTTTCAAAAGAAGTGATCATTTTGTACCTTAATAATATTCTCTCAGCCAGGCGCAGTGACTCATGCCTGTAATCCCAGCAATTTGGGAGGCCGAGGTGGGTGGATCACGAGGTCAGGCATTCGAGACCAGCCTGGCCAACATGGTGAAAACCCATGTGTATTAAAGATACAAAAAAATTACCCTGGTGTGGTGGCAGATGCCTGTAGTCCCAGCTACTTGGGAGGCTGAGGCAGGAGAATCGCTTGAACCTGGGAGGCAGAGGTTGCAGTGAGCCGAGATCGCGCCATTGTATTCCAGCTGGGCAACAGGGCAAGACTCTGTCTCAAATAATAATAATAATAATAATAATAATAATAATAGTCTCTCAACCCATACCCCAGCCCTCAGAGAAAGCAAATAAAAATGTCAGCCAGGTGAGGTGGCTCTTGCTGTAATCCCAGCACTTTGAGAGGCTGAGGCGGGTGGATCACCTGAGGTCACAAGTTTGAGATCAGCCTGGCCAACATGGTGAAACCCTGTCTCTACTAAAAAATACAAAATTAGTTGGGCAAAGTGGTGGGCTCCTGTAATCCCAGCTACTCGGGAGGCTGAGGCAGGAGAATCACTTGAGCCTTGGAGGTTGGAGTGAGCAAAGATTGTGCCACTGCACTCCAGCCTGGGGACCAAGTCTTAAAAAAAAAGAAAAGCCCTCTCAACCCATTCCCCAGTCCTCAGAGAAAGCAAATAAAAACATCTTTACCTCCATTTGGCAATGCAGTTGGTAAGTTCATGAAGGTATCTGGGGACAGAGAAACTCACTTCGCTTTTTTTTTTTTTTGACACGGACTCTGTCGCCAGGCTGGAGTGCAGTGGCGCAATCTCGGCTCACTGCAACCTCCGCCTGAGTTCAAGCGATTCTTCCACCTCGGCCTCCCGAGTAGCTGGGACCCAGGCGCGTGCCACCAAGCCCAGCTAATTTTTGTATTTTTAGTAGAGACAGGGTTTCACCATGGCCAGGACGGTCTCTATCTCTTGACCTCGTGATCCGCCCGCCTTGGCCTCCCAAAGTGCTGGGTGGGATTACAGGTGTGAGCCACCACGCCCGACCTTCACTTCGCTTTTGATTCTCTAAGGTCAGTGCAGCAGCAGAAGTCCACTGGGGACTTTGAGCCCCAGACACCACAACCCACCCTGACCAGTACCCTGGAGACCTCTCAAAAGACAACCATGCTGAGGTCCTGGGGAAAATATTATGACTTGAACAGGATGGACGAGGACTTATGAAACGGGTGCTTTGCAGTGTCTTCAGACATACCTTTACCAGCCTGAGTCTGTGAGAAGCTGCCCTGTGAAGGTTTAAAAAAAAAAACAAGAATTAGGAATGATGATGACAGATTCAATAAAAATCACTCTGGTGCTGCTAGTATCTGATCTCATGCCTTTCTCTTTTGGGTTGGAGGAATAAATAACTAGAAGAAGGAAATGCTTTTTGGTGTCAGAGCCTGCTCAGATGTGTCAGGGTGAGTGATCGATGGCTCCCCACTGGGCCGGTGTTCCTCTCAGTGAGAGCTGGATGCCCAGATCTTTGTATCGCTTCTCAATATAAGCATTTGATGAACTGCTGATAATCCACCTTTTTTTGTTTCTACACAGTGAAACTTATTTCTAATAATACTCTTAGAAGCTAAAGGAAAATAGCCTCCAGAAAGTGACTTTCAGAACAAGGGACAATGTCATCAAGCTGTTCTAAACTAAGACTTGCCTAAATCCTGTCCACTCTGTCATTAAGTGCAAGACAAAGTGAAGGAGAAAGGCTCACAGCCCCAGAGGGGCCAAACCATTTCTTCCCCAAAATAATCTACTTCCTATTAACCACACTAATACAAGAGCATCAGAGATAATTCACAAGACAGAGAATTTTTTTATTATGTCACAATGCTAATGCAGCCACAAATTCGATTTTATTATGATGAAATACAAGGTCCTTTCCAGAATTTTTAAATTTAATTTTATTGTAGTTGTTATTTTAAGTTTGTGATTAAGAAGTTAGTAGTTGTAGTCTTTATTGTGACTGAGACGTCTGCTGTAATATTTGTTGGAATGAGATTGGACCTGTATTTTCAGGAAGAAGCATGATGGTCTTCTTCAATGTTTCCTGGTTTTTTTTAGAAATTAATCAAATTTATTTTTTAAAAGAGTTTTAGATTCACAGCAAAACTGAGCACAAAATACAGAGTTCCCACATAACCCCTGTCCTCACACAGGACCTTCCCTCTATCAACATTCCAAGCACCACAATGGTACATTTATTACAATCATTAACCTACATGGATACATTATTACCATCCAAATTGCCTAGTTTACATTAGTGTTTACTCTTGGTGTTGCATATTCTATGGGTTTTGATAGATGTAGAATGACATTGTGGTATCATCCAGAAGATTTCCACCTTCCTAAAAATCCTCTGTGCTCTGCCTATTCTTTCCTCCCTCACCCCTCAAGCTCTGGAAACTACTCATCAAAACTCAGAGAACCCTTAAAAGCCATTTATTTGAATTTTGTCTTAGAGCCAAGTTTCTTAAACTTATAGGTCATGGAGCCTTTTGACATATAGTCAACTGAACAATCTAGTTAAGGCTATGGACCCATTTCCAAAGAAAAAAAAAAATGTATCCATACTTCAAATTTTATGTACAATTGTGGAGAGGAGTTCATGGGACCTCTGAGGCTTCCAAGTCTAGAGCCACTGTTTTTTATGCCTCCCGGTTCCCTGTAATCTCCCATTTGTGGAGAGTACTATCTGGTACTCACTACTTGCAGCTCAGGACAGCTGATAGAAAGCTGACCCTTCTGGACAGAGAGCAAAAGTAAGCTGTGTCTAACCCCAGAGCCAGGAAATCTGAGATCATTGAGCCACTTGCAGATTTACACAGAAAGACAGGCACCCTGTGTGGTCCACATGGTCCTTTAAATAAGTATATTGTAACATCATGCCCAAGTTTACACAATCAATACAAAGTTAAACTGTGTTGAAAATGCTGGGTTTCACAGGAAATTGCAATAAATGTGGCTCTAAAATGGACACATCAAGAAAGCGCCTTGAGCAAAGGCAAGTCTTGAGAAAGCCATCAGCTGCCAGAAAAAGACAGGGAGGAAGGGAGTCACAGGGAGGAAGGGAGTCACAGGGAGGAAGGGAGTCACAGGGAGGAAGGGAGTCACAGGCAGGTGCTCCTCAGCATGGAGGAGATCTGTGGGTTTCCCAGGCACATTGCCCCTGCCCCAAGCTGAAGGGGCACAGTCACAGCTGATGATCATCACCCAGTATAATTATACAGGCCCAGAAAGGCTCTGACAGCACATCAAAGGAGAGCCAGGCTCATGGGAGATGTTCTTTGTTACAAAGGGAGTTTGGGACTACAGAGAATGGGCTGAGGCCTAAATATTCTAGATTAGAATTAGTCAGAAGGTCCCCAGTACCTGTGGTCAGAATTCCATGTGACCTCTGTAAGGAGTCATATTTTCGGTTAGTAACATTAAAGCTGAACAAGGGACTCTTCGCTGCAGTGTTCTGAAAAGTCACTGATGTAGAAATGGCTCTTCCTTCCCCATAATGCATACCTATTCCCTTTCCTGTCATTCATGGGTTCAACCCATCATTCCAGACACTCTTAGGGAGCAAAGGAATCATCCCTTTCTTTGAAATCAACATCCAAGTTTTGGAAGAGTTATTATTTTCTCCTTCTCAGTTAGGGATGCACATTATTCTACATATAGAATAATCTTTTTAAGTGAAGCTTATTGCCAGAACACCCTCAGATTTCAACAAAGGAAAAGAAATATGTGAAGGCATGCCTACAGAGTTAAAAACAGAGCTCTGTCCTTCTTCATTCCCCCGTGGGGCTGAAATGCTCTCAATCTCTTAAAAGAAAAAAAAAAAATGTAAGCAGAGCCACTGACCTGTGTTCTGCACTGCCATGAAGGTAAACAATAATTGGGTTCCCATCGCGAAGGGCTGCTTCATACCAGCCACGGTCCTTCCCCTTGGCATCTTCCGCCCGGCAGCTGGGGACTGTATGCCTGAAGAGCAAGGGAGGTTTAAACAGATGTAGAGAGAGGAATTCTCCATCCTTGCAAAGGCTGAAACTCTCCTTATTTTTTATATATATATATATATATATGTATATTATATATGTATATCATATAATATACATACACATATATTTTAATTTTTTTTAATTTTTTATATGCACATGGTAAAAATAAAAATCTAACACCACAAAGTGTCTTATAATGAGAACTACTACTGTCCTACCGCATGTCCCCATGCACAGAGGCAGTCCCCCCACCTTTTTTTTTCTTTTTTTGAGACAGAATCTCACTCTATTGCCCAGACTGAGGTGCAATGGAATGATCTTGGCTCACTGCAACCTCCCCCTCCCAGGTTCAAGTTATTATCCTGCCTCAGCCTCCTGAGTAGCTAGGACCACAGGCACCCAACACCATGCCCAGCTAATTTTTATATTTTTAGTAGAGATGGGATTTCACCACGTTGGTCAGGCTGGTCTCAAACTCCTGACCTCGTGATCTGCCTGCCCGGGCCTCCCAAAGTGTTGGAATTCCAGGCGTGAGCCACCATGCCAAGCCCACAGAAACATTTATTTCATGACAGTGGTAATAATTGTCAAAAGGAACAAGCCCAGGTGACCACGACAGCACATAGCTAAAATGGGCAGTAAGGAAAGGCGTTCTTCAAAACTACCAACTCAAGTGAAATTCGGTAGATGAGTAGGCAGTTAGAAGAAAGAAAGCAGAGAGCTGAGAAATAGAAGGAAGTCTGAGGACAGAGCATGTCCTGGGAGGGCAGGTGTCTGGAGTTGAAGGCATGAAGGCAAGGGTGGTGTGGAATACGGCAGAAGGGGCAGGTGAGATCAGAAGCTAAGGGCAACATCTAAAAGTCTGTATTCCAAATCAAAATTCTTAGAAAGCAAAATCAAGCAAATCAACAGAAGAGGAAGCTGTATGAAACAGCCTTCAGATACTTCCAGGAGCACCCACCTCTCCATGGGCAGGTAACAAAGCACTGCTCCTCTGTACCCTTCTAACAGGAAAACCTGCCCCATCAAGCAACCCAGTGTCCCATCCATGCACTCACCAGATCCCTAGCATCACCCCAGGTTCAACTGTCAGGTAGAAGTTCACCGTGTGAGGAATCTTTAACTCTGGTTTCTTTAAATCCACAAGAAACGGGGCTTTGACTGGAAAGTATAAATCATTATCAACTCCAAAAATCAAACCCCATGCCTTTTAATTACAATCAAAGAAAAGAATTAGCCTACATAGGTTAATAGGCTTCTAAGTTGCAAGCTACTACACTAAACTCCTAGCAGAGTATTTTATTTTATCAACTAGGACTAGCCTGCTGAAGAGGGGCAGAAAACCAAAATCTAAAAGCTGGATTTTAAAGTAGCATCAGTGTGGTACCTCATATTAGAGAAACAGAGTTACTCAATCCTTATCCTTGTCTGCAGCTAAAAGCAGAGGAGACCATTCCCCTAAGAAGGTAAAAAAGCCTAAAAGAAAAGTATTCTGCTACTTCGGTGAAACTAATCATCAGCCAAAAGGCAAGAAACATCCAGATTTCACACAAACCAGGTGGCAAGCAGGTAAGAACTAGAAGGACTGTGTTACACTGACTAACACATAATTCAGTAGAGGAAAAAAAAAAACAGGAAAAAAAGATTTCTTACATCAGTACCATTCTCTCTCCCTGTTTCAATCTCTCTCTCTCTCATTCTCTCTCTCTCTCTCCCCGCCCTCTCTCTCATCTTTAAGGGATGCAGATAAGAAGAAAGGCAGAGAATACAGTAAGCAGTTAGGTATCCATATTAACAACCAATTAATTTGCAGTCAGCTCTGGAATTGAAACCCCACCCACAAGCCCATGCATCTCTCTTCACTCCTAGCAGTTTGCAAGGATTCCTGCTAGACTTCAAAGTCAACATTAAATAAGTTTTAGACCATTTCAGTCTAGCCACAATTTTACAGCTGACATGCTGTTCATTACATCCCAACCTTAAGGGCAGTGAGGTCTTTATTTAGGAAAAATCATGTAGGCAAATTTATGGAAGGTCCATACTTACAAAAATTGAAATAAATTAGCATGTCTATCAGAGGAGGGAAAACATGTTCTTTTAAGGATTTACTAGTAAAGCTGTCATACAGAGCAGCAATTTTTCTTCCAAGCGTTGAACAGGAGTGTGGAAAAGATCTGCAAGACATTAGGAAACACACGAGGTTTTCAAAATTAATTCTTTTGTCTTGGTTTGTATTTTTCTTTCTCTTCTTCTTCTTTCTTTTTTTTTTTTTTTTTTTGAAAAGGAGTTTTGCTGTTGTTGACCAGGCTGGAATGCTATGGCGCAATCTCAGCTCATTGCAATCTCTGCCTCCCGGGTTCAAGCAATTCTCCTGCCTCAGCCTCCCAAGTAGCTGGGACTACATGCGCCCACCATCAGGCCCAGCTAATTTTCGTATTTTTAGTAGAGACAGGGTTTTACCATATTGGCCAAGTTGGTCTCGAACTCCTGATCTCAGGTGACCTGCCCCCAAATTTCAGAGACTAACACTGGGAATTCCAGGTCACTTGGCATTTAAGCAAAATCTTTTACACAATGACATGGAATTATCTACAGGGCAGGTCAAGACTGGCACTAAGGGGAAACCAGGTAAGGAGAGTAATAAGGCAGGGCCCCAACCAGTAGCTGAAAAAGTCAGGGCATGACAGGGACAGGAGAAGGGACAATGTTTGCACCACAGCCAGGTTTGGTCCCTTACTATAGCCCCATAGAAGGCTGGGGATGGACCCCAAAGTCACCAGTAAACAGGATTCAGACAGTTTAACAGTCACCGCAGTTTTTAACATATATCACAATTCTGCACTCTGTGTGTTAGCTTCATTATCATTAGTCTCAGTCAGGGAGAGAATAATCCTTAGATCCTCTCTATTCTGGAAGAAATGAGCCAGTGTGCGAAGACCCCACTTCTGAGATGAGATCCCTGAAGAGAGGGACCCATGAGGCACAGGGCTGCAGCCTGCTCAGGGAGTGGGATGGGCACACACACATCTTGTGTATGCTACTGTTCCCTGTGACACAAACCACCCAATCAGGAGCTGTCAGCACACAAGTGACAGTTTGTCCATAAGGGGTCACTAAGGACACCTCTGTCTCAAGTTGCCTCTCTTGTGAGGGTCTTAGAGAGATAGGAATGCAGGAGGTCAAGGTCATCATCTCCTGCTTCCAGTGTGGGTAACACCTCCCATGGGCACTGAGGAAGAAGTGTCCAGACCCCAGGCACAATTAGTGCCTGAAGAATATCTTATAGTGTTATTACACAACTATTTCCGTTATACAATCCTTTATATATAATCATATATTAGTTTATAGAATTAATACCTGAACTGTAACTTACTACTTACATATATCTAGCTTATATAATCATACTTAATACTTATATCTAGCATACTTAGTTCTATATAATCTTTCTATCTAATCATATAGGTATTGTAGTCGGAGCTGTACTGACACATTTAGTGCTGATTTATAGAATCACTCATAGTAGCCTGTAGTAGGAGGAATGCCTAGAGCAGTCACAGAACAGAAGCAGTACATAGGAAAACAGCCAGACCAGGACAAGAACCAAAGATCCAGGCGATGGTGACCCTGCCTGAAAGGGCATACGCTGTATGGCAAGCTTGGAGCAAGGGCCTCTCCTCCTGACAAAGGAGTTGTAGTATCTTTCCTGTGGAAAGTAAGCCTCAGTTCTGAGATCCTGGAAATAACCGAGGGAGAAGAACCCCTCTGGTGTGACCAGTCACCGCAGCTGTACACCCTGTCAGTCTTTTCTCGATCCTCTACTGCTCACAGCACGGCCCCCTGCTGCACACAGCCCACCTCTCTGCCCAGGTGACATAATGGGGTGGCCCCTTTGCTTGTGACTCACATGATTATGTATGCCCTATTACTAAGCCTATAGATAATGACCTCACGACCCTGCTCCCTGCTTGTATCTAATAAATACAGATGCTTCCGGGCATTTGGGACTCTCGCTGATCTCCACTCATAGGTTGCATGGCCACCCGAGTCCAGCTGCTCTTCACCAGTTTTTCAGTGTCCTATCTCTTTAATTCTCAGATCCTGCACCTCAGCACCACATAAGGAACACCCCATGACCCTGTGGGGCCCTACAGTACTGCATTCCAGTTTTTGCTCACATTATCCATTAAATAAGTCCCTTTCCATGTTTGAGAGGTCATTGTTAAGACTGTTTAATGTAGCCAAATAATAAGATTGAGAGACTGAAAGCATTTTTGACAAATTGTTTCCCCCTGCCCTGATTCCTCTGCTAGACTGAAGGCATTTTTGGAAGGTAATCATTACCTTTGCTTTGCAAATGAGACTGGAAAGTTAACTACTCTTTCCAAGATCACAAGCCAAAGAATGGCAGAGCCACACATAACCTGCTCTGTCTGATCCCATAGTCCTGGTGACATCCAGGTGAGCAGAAATGAACCCCAGGAACCAGGCTGGCCTCTGGCAAAATTCTGCTCATAGACAGTCTTGCTTTTAGATTCCCTTCCGCATCTCAGCCCTCTCGGGGTCACGTCCTTTCTCCTTTCCTCCCTGCTGCTCCTGTGTTCTCAGGAGCCCTCTGATAACAAAGTCATCAAAGAAAGATCTCTAAAAAATAAAAAAATTACACCTAAAGTATAACTTTAAAAATCAGAGCACTTATATGTGTTCGGAAGAGGCATGAAGGGAGAAAATAATGAATTTCTGATGAATTTCCAGCAGTTCTGCAAGAAGTGGAAAAGATGTGGGCTAAGACTAATGGCTAGCTCTTCAAATACATCATACACGGGCAATTGCCTACTCATAAAATCAGCAAGAAAGAAACAAAAATGTTTCGTAATACTTTAAAATAGCACCCCACCACCCCCGCCACGAAGGCAGCAGGAAGGAGAGAACATTGTTGTTCTGATTTTAGAGATAAAAAATCAAAACCCAGAGAAGCCACTTTGAGTCACAGATCAAGGCCAAATGGACATAACTGAACACAAGGCTGAACTATGTATGCTTCATTCCAGCCTCTGGCTTCTGCTGGCTTCCCCCTAAGCTCCTGGCACTCACTGCCACCCTGCCTGTTAGTCTCCCGCTAAGCTGTCTTTTGAAGGTAGGCAGGGTAGTCTCCCGCTAAGTTATGTTTTGAAGGTCTGCTTGGGAAGCAGAGGCAGTAGAGGGAAATGTGTGTCTGTTTTTAAGGAATAATTCATACAGAACCCTTCTCTCAAATAGCTCGAGGCACTTCCCTGAGATGCACTGCGGGCAGAGAACACAGTGACCAGATCCTCAGAGCATCAATAATGCAAAGCAGCTTCTTTTAACTAGGTGGTTGTCAATTTGACTTCTCCTAGATCAGTAGGGGATCAAAAGTCACCAGTGGCTAATAGACCTTATTTGAGTGGAGGATGCAGTTTCAGCCCAATCCAAGCTAACGGACAGCCACATCAAACGGCCACCTTGGTGCTTTGGCGCTCTTTCATTTGCCCTTTGATCAGCTGCAGCTGTAAACACACAGCGTCCCACGGGGGCCTCAGAACCTAACTGGATGATTCTTACTGGTGAAAGCTGGTGGAATCTGAGCTGCTACAGTGAATCACTCAGGCTCAGAGGTTTCTGCAAACCAACTTCGGGAAGCCCAAATCTAACTGCATTTACTATTCCAAATTTTAAGGCATGTTCCTTCAACCTATGTGCCAATTCATTCAACTGACACGTATTGGTCACCAAGCACCAGGAGACACCCTCCCAACCTTTCACACCCACAGAAGTATCTCTTTTTTGTCAAAGTCTCTCTGGAGAGATTGTTCCATGATGACTTTTCCTCTCTTGTCTCGTCTCCCACAAATAATAACGGGGCCTCTGCTGGCCTTGAATTGTTCGCTGATGGCTTTCACATTATAAGCCCTGTCTTCCCAACTCCATCAGGCCACAGAGGACAAGAACAACATGGCATAGAACACTTCCTTTACACTTCATTCTGTCTAGCCCAGGGCTGAGCTCAGTACATATGTATTGATGAATAGTTTGAAAATGGAAAAAAAGTGCATTCCTTTTGAAAGGGAGAAGGAAGCAACATTTATTGGTAGCTTTGGGGAAAAGAGGAAGGGCCTTCTTTTTTTACTTACTATTCCAAATGAATCCATGTGAGCTCCACAGAGCAAGGACTTTTGTCTGTTTTATTTACTGCTGTATGGCCAAGATGTGAATAGTGCCCAAGAGATAATAAAGAACCAACACTGTGGGAAGAATGAATACATCTACCAGCCCACTCATGGACACTTTCCGAGCACTATCTAGGATCATAATGACTTGGGATGAAATAGAGGGAAATGAGGAGGAAAATAAAGCTTTGGTTTCCCCCAACTTCTTTCTGGAGTATGCTTTTCAGTTTTCTAATTTAAAGAAAACCAGTTGTAAGGTGGAGACTTACACCTGGGCCCATACACCTTAAGCAGCAACTGGATTTGATTTTTAAAACTTGTAAAATAAATAACTAGATCACTAAGGCATTAAAAAAAATAGCCACTGGAAAAAAAATCATATGACAAAATGTTCTTCTTGTGTCTCACAACACATCCCACCAGTTCCAGAGCTGATTATGATCAGGGCCAGGGGCATGGCAAGCCCTTCATGAAGATTTGCTCATCTGAATGAGCCCCGCTCCAAGAATCAAAGAGGACTTGGGATGGTGGAAGTGAGTCGGGGCCTCAGCCTCAGCACATCTTACATTAGACCAATATTCTTCTGCTCAGATTAAGACATGCACTGGTATTTTATTCTTTCAGGAAGTGTCTCTGGAGACTTTTTTCACTAATTAGCAATGCAAGTAATAGATGGTCCCCAACTCCCCATCTCCCACTCCATTATCAACAAAGTGGGTTGTTCTCTACAAGTGAAGTGAAACTTCGATTCTCTTCCTAATAAACTCCCTTTACTGTCAAATAAATGTTAAATAATCAGCCATCAATTCCATGGAGATCATGAAAGTGAGAGGCATTAGAGGGCAATGTTCCCAGAATCACCATATCTGGGAGAGAAGTCCTGTTGATGTGCAGCTTGACACGTGCCATCAGGACATTCTGCCGGGTGTTCATATCCAACACAGAGCTGGAAGGCAATGAATGAGCCCCTACAGAGCTACCAAGAATTAAAAAAAAGTAGAAGAGAAAACAGTCCAGGTGCAGTGGCTCACACCTGTAATCCTAACACTTTGGGGTGCCAAGGCAGGTGGAATCTGTGAGCTCCAGGAGTTTGAGACCAGCCTGGGCAATGTAGTGAAAACCCATATCTACACAAAATTTAAAAATTAGCCCAGCATGTTGGCAGGTGCCTGTAGTCCCAGCTATTGGGACTGAGGTGGGAGGATCGCTTGAGCCCTGGAAATGAACCAAGATTGTGCCACTGCACTCCAGGCTGGGCAACAGAGTGAGATCCTGTGAAAGAAAGAAAAGGAAAGAAAGAAAGAAGGAATGAAAGAAGGAAAGAAAAAGAAAGAAAGAAAGAAAGAAAGAAAGAAAGAAAGAAAGAAAGAAAGAAAGAAAGAAAAGGGAGGGAAGGAAGGAAGGAAGGAAGGGAGGGAGGGAGGGAGGGAGGGAGGGAGGGAGGAAGGAAGATTGCTGTTTGTCACATCACTCTAGGCACTCCAAAGTGAGGTCTCCTGTGTCTAGATGTGATTTTTGAATTTTTTTTTTAAACGGAGTCTTTCTCCATCACCCAAGTTTGAGTGCAGTGGCACCATCTTGGCTCACTGAAACCTCTGTCTCCCGGGTTCAAGTGATTCTCCTGCCTTAGCCTCCCGACTAGCTGGGACTACAGGCGCGTGCCACCATGTTTGGCTAACATTTTGTATTTTTAGTGGAGACGGGGTTTCACCGTGTTAGCCAGGACAGTCTCCGTCTCCTGACTTCGTGATCCGTCTGCCTTTGCCTCCCGAAGTGCTGGGTTTTTTCAGGCATGGGCCCCTGCACCCGGCCCCAATTTTTGGATATTTTATAATCAGCACAAATTAAACAAAAGGAATAGAATGAGGGAAACAAAAATGCCAATATCTTTCCACACCAACAAAACTAAATGAAATGCCCATTTGCCCTGTGTCCAGGATCTCCAACCAATACCTGGTTTCAGGGCAAACAAGACCGCCAACATGTTGCTGGTGGATTCAGGTAATTTAAGGTTACTGTTTACAACGAGCATCCATGGGAGGAAGAAAACAAACAAAAACCAGAAACACCCGCTGATATACAGACATTTCAGATTTAAACAATGTAAGAACTTGGCACAGGTAATGCCAAGTTATGGTTTCAACATACGATACACATCTTTAGCATAGTGGAGGTGTGTTCTTTAAATGCATGCCAGGGAGTTCACACTCAGGGTGCTAGGCAGGGATTTTCTGATCCTTTTCCACCTACACAGATAGGCCCTTGTCCTGAGAGGATGCCATCGAAGATTACAACATATATTACTATTGTCACTATTACTAGTGTCATTCAGATCCATCCTGTAAGTGAGCAAAATGGTCAGATAATAGAGATTGGTATAGAAATCCAACCATCTCCCTGACATCTGTATTTCGGACGCCCCCAAAATTATAACTTCCTGAAAAATACCAAATCCAAGAGTCTCGCTGGTCCAGGTTGGGATTGAGGCTGAGGATACCAAAGGCAACCAGAGTCCTAGAGTTCGCAGCGGGCCGCCAAAGTCCCCCGGGAGTCACCGTGTAGGTCCTCCCGCTCGGGTCGGCAAAGCTGGTTACCGCCTCTGCCGCACCTTCGCCCGCTGCCCCATCCCCTCGCAGCCCGAGCCGTCGGGACCCTGCCACTGGTGGACCTGGCGCGAACTCACCGCAGGTTGCGCTCGACCATGTCCCACCAGCCGGCCAAGCAGTCGCGGGCAGGGGGCCTGGGTGGCTCGGGCATCGCGGCCGCCTGACAGTCCTGCGCTTCCATCCCGAGCCGCCGCCACCACCGCCACCGCCGCGGGAGCTGCAGCCCGGAGCCCTCGCCAGCGACCTTCCCGCCCCGTTGGCGCCGCGCCCGCCCTCCTCCTCTGCGCGGTCAGGCAGACTGGTGCGGCCGGGGCGATGCGGCCTGAGGGTGCACTCCGCCCGGATCCGGCTGTTCGCGGCCACACACACACACATACGTCCTGCGCTTATATCGCTAGCTACGCAACATTTTATTTTGAGTTAATTTCCATTATACTAACCTGTGTGCGCGCGGGCGTGAGGCGCGCACAACGCAGTAAAATATGTGTTCACAATGGTACTACTGACACAAGTTTGACAGCCACAGCTTTTGATTTTCATGAGGAATATAAGCTTTCCTGTTCTTAGACCCCATTTTTTCTCTTTTTCTGAAGCTTGCCTATCTCCACTTCCCCACCCACCCTCAACACGCCCCCAACACCCACCACCTTGCCACCCTTACTATAGAAAGAATGTCTTTGTCTCCCTTTGATTAACTAATAATTACTCCATGCAGCAAAAAATTAAGACTTCTTTGGTATTTTGTTTACTTAGCGTGTAACAGAACCTCATCATTGTACCAAGGAGCTCACACCGTGAAACCTTTGACCTTGGTAGAGGTTTGCATCTCCGTGCAGGTTTACATTGTGTAGCTGTCTCCTAGGAGCAGGAACTATGGGTCTACCAGAGCTGCTCTAGGGAAGCCACGGCGTGCATGTGTGCGGACAAAGGAGGAAAAAAGGGAATGAGGTTTTTGTTTTGTTTTGTTTTTGAGGCGGAGTTTTACTCTTGTTACCCAGGCTGGAGTACAATGGCGCGATTCCGGCTCACCTCACCCTCCGCCTCCCGGATTCAAACTATTTTCCTGCCTCAGCCTCCCGAATAGCTGGGATTTCAGACATGCACCGTCATGACCAGGTAATTTTTTATTTTTAGTAGAGGCGCGGTTTCTCCATGTTGGTCAGGCTGGTTTCTAACTCCCGACCTCAGGTGATCCGCCTGCCTCTGCCTCCCAAAGTACAGGCTTAAGTCCCGTGTCTGGTGGGATTGAGGTTTTATTTAGATGCCTTAGGATGTCAGCATCAAGGCTTCATCTTAGAGGCAAGATGCAACATCTTAAAGGTGAAATGGGTTCTTGGTAGTATCTGTGTTCAGAGGGCACAGCAGGGGGCTGTCACCGCCAGAAAGTGCGTGGGGAACCATCTGCTTAAATATAGTAGGACTGTCTGGGGGAAAGTACCCACACTTTTCAAGAAAGGGCAGTTTTCTTTGAGGACTAGCCCATTTCATGGAACTGTCAGGGCAAAGGGGAATTTTGTTCACTACCTATTATACTTGCTCTGGAATATTCGTTTCCTTTCTTTCTTCCTTCCTTCCTTCCTTCCTTCCTTCCTTCCTTCCTTCCTTCCTTCCTTCCTTCCCTCCTTCCTTTCTTTCTTTCTTTTTTTGGAGTCAAGGTCTTACCCTGTCACTGAAGCTGGAGTGCAGTGGTGCAATCATAGCTCACTGTACTTGAATTCACTCGAAATCCTGGGCTCAAGCGATCCTTCCACCCCAGCCTCCCAAGTAGGTGGGATGAAAAGCATGTATCACCATGCCTGGCGTGTGTGTGTGTGTGTGTGTGTGTTTGTGTTTGTGTGTGTGTATGTGTGTGTGTAGAGATGGGATCTCACGACATTGCCCAGGATGCTATCAAACTCCTGGTCTCAAACAATTCTCCCGTTTAGCCTCCCAAAGTGCTGGGATTACAGGTGCGTGTCACCACACCTGGCTGGAATGTTTAGTTTCTGATTCATATATATCAAGATAGAAGAGGAATTAGCTCAAGAAGGAACAATGGGATCCAAGCCTGACTGATGAGCCAGCTGCAGGTGGATTTTCACACCCTGCGTGATGAGAAAGCTTCAAGCAGATGTTGATTCTGCCCCTAGAGTTCTTCATAAACTTGGTCTGGAATCTCACAGAACCTGTTCAGAGAAGCTCTGGATGTGACTCTGGGGCCATGCCATGAGGAGATGGAAGGATCAAAGACGGGGGCAGAGGCAGGAGGAGAGAACAGCTCCATATGGTCCTAGAGTCTATTTCCATCTACTTGCTCAAGTCGAGGAGGATATTTCCATCTACTTGCTAGTCAGACAAAGTTGTAAGCCCCAAGTCTGAGGATACATTTGAAATGCTCAGTAAAATCTCTGAAGTTGGAAACCACTGTGACCCATTTTTTGAAAGGTTGTGTAAGACTCTACAAAAAGGCCTTTCCCAATATAAATAGCCCCTTTCAAAGGGTACATCCTGGAAATCAGAAAACGAAGTATCCAATATGATTTGATAGAATCTGAAAAACAAAATATTTATTCATTTATTCAGCATCCATTTACTGAGCACCTTTTAGGTGCCAGGTATCACATTGGGCACTGTAGGGATACAAACCAGGATCCCTGCTGGTAGAGATTCATCTTAGGATAAACTATGAGAACACAGAACAGCAAATGAAAAGTGCCCTAAGGGCAGAGATTAGATCTCTGGGGATGGCAAGGGCTGGAGGTGGGGAGGGGAAGTTGACTACAAAGGGTGTGAAGAGACATCTTAGAGTGATAGAAATAGTCTACATCTCAAGTGTGGTGGTGGTTACTGTAAATATCCACCAAAACTCATGTAACTCACAGATGAATTTGACTGAATATGATTTATACCTCAATAAACCTGACTTTTAGAAAAGTGACCTAAAAAATGTACTGATAAACTGTATAAATGAATATGCCCTATGTCATGTTATACAAATGTTAAAGCTGATGGCACCAATATATTAGAAACCAACAACAGTTGAATGTTATTTGCACTAGCAGAAAAATGCATTTTTATGGGAGATAGGTTCATCTAATCATCTAAAATTATTCTGGAAAAACAGGGAATGGGGAATAAGACTGACCACCTCTCAGCTGCTGCACAGCTGTGAACATAAACTGCTGGTAATAAGGCAGTTAGGTGTTGAAGAACTAGATATCATGAAAAGAAAGAATTAATCCCCCTTATGTTTTCTTTTATTTTTAATAAAGCTTTATTAAGACATATAATTCACACACTATAAATTCACCCTTTTAAAGTATACAACTTATACAACTCAGTAATTTTTGTATATCCAAAGAATGGTGCATCTATCACTACTATTTACCATAATTTTAGAATGTTTTTGTCACCCCCCAAAGAAAATCCTATATCCATTAGCACTCACCATTCTGCCCTTCACCTGCCCTAAGCAATCACTAATCTACTTTCTGGCTCTATGCATGTGCCTATTCTGGACATTTCATATAAATGAATCAAGCAATATGTTGCATTTTATGTCTGGCTTCTTTAACTCAATATAGTGTTTTCAAGGTTCATTCATACGCTATCTCAATGAATACCTCATTCATTTTTGTGGCTGAATAATATTCCTTTGTATGGATATACCACATTATGTTTATCCACTCATCAGTTGATGAACATTTGGGTTGTTTCTATCTTTTATCTATTGCAAATAATGCTGCTATAAATATTTGCATACAAGTTTTTGTGTGGACATGTTTTCCTTTCTCTTGCTTGTATAGCTAGGAGTGAAATTGCTCAGTCGTATAGGTAACTCTATGTTTAATTTTTTGAGGAACTGCCAAATTGTTTTCCAGAGTGACTATACCATTATACAATCCCACCAGCATAAGCACCATGGACGTTTTTCACCCTTTCTCAGCTTTCCATACACAGTAGAATTTTTTTTTTTTTTTTGAGACAGAATTTTGCTCTGTCGCCAGGCTGGAGTGCAGTGGCAGGATATCAGCTTCCTACAACTCCGCCTCCCAGGTTCAAGTGATTCTCTTGCCTCAGCCTCCCAAGTAGCTGGGACTACAGGTCCGCACCACCACATCCAGTTAATTTTTGTATTTTTGGTAGAGACATGGTTTCACCATGCTGGCCAGGATGGTCTTGAGCTCTTGATCTCGTGATCTGCCTACCTTGGCCTCCCAAAGTGCTGGGATTACAGGCATGTGCCCAGCCAGAATTTTTTTCTTAATCTAATATTGTTGAGATTGAAATAAACCATTAAAGGGAAGTTTAAATCTAGTCCCAGATGATAGGGGAAGAATGATGTAACTAACACAACTCAGAATATCTCTTTTTGTATGTTGTTAAAGTTTTGTTTTGTCTTCTACATTAGATCTAATGTAAGATGATTCATTATCATTTCAGGAGTAGCTGTTGGATTATTCTCATGTGCTTGGAATTGAGAGTGTTAATATGGATTTCCTTTTAGCTAAACGGGTGGTTTCTTTGAGAAGAAAAAATAATAATGTCTTGGGCCCCTTTCAGTTGAAACTGGAAGTGCTTGAATACATTGAGTACACTGTTTCTTCCAAAGAGCTCTCCACATTCCCAGATATGGCCCATAGAGTCCTTGCTGTTCCACAGTAAGATATGAGACTTAGTTTTCCCAATGTCTGTGGAAGAACTGAGCTGGGATTAAACCCCAGCAGTTACAACTTCCTCCTACCTCTCTGGTGTTCCTTTCCAAATTCCTCCAGCCATTCCTTAGAAGTTAGCTGTTCTCAAGGTTCCATCCTAGCTCTGCTTCTCTTCTTACATTGTATACACCAGGATTTCCAGAACCTATTAGGAAAGAGATCAGGTTCGGTGGCTCAGGCCTGTAATCCCAGCACTTCAGAAAGCCGAGGCAGGCAGGTCACTTGAGGTCACGAGTTGGAGACCAGCCTGGCTAACGTGGCAAAATTCTGTCTCTACTAAAAATTAAAAAAAAATTAGCCAGGCACTGTGCCACATGCCTGTAATCCCAGCTACTTGGGAGGCTAAGGTGGGAGAATTACTTGAGCCCAGGAAGTGGAGGTTGCAGTGAGCTGGGATTGCACCACTGTACTCCAGCCTGGGCAACACAGCAAGACTCTGTCTCAATTAAAAAAAAAATGATAAAAATGATAAAAATAAAACTATTGGGAAAGAAAGGAAACTTTTTTATCTGAGAAGCGTGAGCTCCTTTAAATTATCAGCCCCAGTGAGGCATTGAAATGTGACAGTAGTCACCTCTCACTCCTCCCTTGACATAAGTAACCTCCTCTTGTTATGTGGGCTCTACACTGAGTGACACCAAGTAGCCATAGCTTAATCTAACAATGTCACATGCTGGAGATACAACTCATACCCTAGAGTCCAACAAAGTATATGGCCAATCAGTGTTACTTCTGTGAACCAATGAAAATTCCCAGCAAACAACTTTTGTAACTGCCCCCTCTCCTTATTTGTTCTTTGCACTTCCTTGTGTTTCCCAGGCTGCAC